TAAAGATGTAGAGGCCAGAGCACATCGTTTTTATTTTAATTTAAATGTCACTTAAGCACTACAGTGTTAAGTTGTCCTTTTCAACTTCACACTAAATTCCATTTTCAACTTGTTTGCTTCTTACAATTGTATATAGCATTTCTAAAAGTATTGCATTACAATCCGTTGGTTTATTAATTACATGTTTAATGTGTACTTCCTAATCGCCTGTCCAAAAATCAGAACAGGTGAAGCAGAAACTATTTTTAGAATACCGAAGGTTAACTCATATCATGACCTAGTAAAATATGTAAACAAACCACAAGAATCGGATGTAGAACTGATATTATGACTTCCTTACCATGAAAGACTACATGGCGGCAAAGTGTCTTACGTGCATTTTCAAAAATAGATATTTATACTAGCCATTGTACTGTATCTAATATATTAATAACTGCTGAATATTCAGCTAAACCCGCGGTATGAGTCACGAAAATAGTTCTTCTTTTATTAATGCGCGATTTATCCTAGTCACGAAAAACTTTTGATTTGTTAATAATAATGTTTTGTATAATGTAGAAATATTTATTTCCTACTAATAATATTTTGGAACTCAGAGGTTACACCTTTATTGAAGTATAATTTGCTGTCCTCTTTTTTCGACAGCGGTAAATCGTTTCAGCAGTAATTTGCATATTGCGCAATAATACTACGGGACTACAACGTTTTTATCAATAATATACGTTCATATTTTAACTTGGATAACTTAATTTGAAATTGAAAAGGCTAAATATGGAAGACATTAAGATATCCAGACAAAGTATGGGAGTTTTGAAGGATCAAATTCATGTACTATTTCTTGGGCTGTTAATTGGTTTAGGACACATTGCGCGAGTGTAGCCAACGAAATCCCATGTGTAGATGACTTAGCTCTGAACGCGCCTGAGGGCCCGTCCGTCGCAATAAAAAGACTGTCCTACACCTACAATTGAACGTTACAGATTAATTATGAGGGATATATATAGAATCTTGCGTGAGTTACGTGGGTTATTGGTTTTGTTTTTGGGTGTGTTTTTTGTGATTAAAAAAAATAATAAGGAAAAATGTTATGTTTCTTAAAAACTTCTACTCGTACACCCATCATTTACAAAAAGAAGGGCATAATGCCACTTTAATTAAAACCAGTTTAAGGTGTATTAGTTCTTAATATCTTTGAATATTCGAGGATAGGTACATCGGTACTTAATATATTTGCACCTTAAAGGATTGTCTTTAACTACAGGTATATTGGTATTTAATATATTTGTACCTTGGAGAATTACCTTAAACCATAGGTATATTTGTATTCAATATTTTTGCACCTTTGAGGAATATCATTTAACACACATATATCGGTAACCTTGAAGGATTATCTCTTACCATAGGTGTATCTGCACTTGTTATATTTGCATCTTAGCTTGGAGGATTTCCTCTAACCATTATGTTTATCGGTACTTGGTGTATTTGTATTTAATATCTTTGCACATTAGATGATTATCTCTGACCATAGGTATATTGGTACTATCTTTGCACCTTTAAAATTCATAGGTCATTTCTAGGATTGATAACCTCTGCACTACAAGTTCAAAATAGTATCAAATGAATGTCTTTTTGGGCATCTATGTTCCTATTGTGTGCACATGTCGGGGGGGGGGGGTAAGTATAAGAGAAAGCTCCATTTTTTCAACGGCTTCAGAAGATATTCCTCCTATCAAATTGGCAAAATTGTCACATATTATATCCGAGTAATATCTTTTACTACTCCTTGATCTTCTGGTTTTTGATCATCATTGTGCAAGGAAGTTTCACATGCTTATGCAGGCTATATCTTAACATACTTAACGGTTTATTTTTTTTTTCTCCTCTGCATCCTGATACATGTTGAATATCTATATAATGGTCTTTTAATGCTTAAATTGTTTAACCTATCTGTTGTAACAGACAGATTAGCGGCACAGGTTAGTTACATAATAGTCACGGAACGTGACAAAAGCAACCAATGAGCCATTTAAGATCATGTGACCAAAAAGAAACAAACAACAAGTTCAACAAATTTGGTGAATATTTTATTTCATTAGTTTCATATGTCAATCAATACCAATGAATATGAAATCTGATTTCTGAAATAAAACAATGATGTTATGTAATCTAATTAAATAAAACATGCATAATGGAACAGAAAGTTTTCACTGGTTAAACAACAGGAATCATTCCAATTAGGTCACAGTTAAACGAAACTGATACTATAAATAGGATCCAATAAGGTGACAGTGAAAACAACTTGATGCTATAAATAGCATCCAATTACGTCACAGTGAAATCAACTTGTACTATAAATAGCATCCAATAAGGACACTGTAAAATCAACTTATATTATAATCAACATCCAATTAGGTCTGGCAGAGAAAGAATGACAATTTAATTACCCCTCAGCCAGTCAGGTCATGGTGAAATGAAATTGATTCTATAAATAGCACCAAAATGGTCAAAGTGATATAAATTGCAACTATAAACTGCATGTAAATAGGACACAATGAAAATGAAATTGACCTAAAAATAGCATCTGGTCAGATACTATAAATAGCATTTTTTAAAAATACATGACAGTGAAATGACATTAATACTTCAACAAGTAATCAGGTCACAATGGATGACATTGGTACTATAAATAGAATCTTAAGATAATAGACAGAGAAAATTGAAAGTGAAACTACAAAATGTGATATAATCCTGTACCATTGACCTAATTGGTATATACATGCAATTAATTTAACAAATAACAATGATATTCAAATAACACATTTCTTACAGAGAATATACATACAATTAAAACATTTCACTCAAGCAAGTTTTGTTTCCTTGGAAACAAAAATATTCCAAATCTAGAAATATTCAGAAAAATCTTTAAACACAAAAGTTTTGCACAGATACATGTAACTTTTTATTTATAATTGTTTTGGAATGTTACAGAAATATTTATATTCATCTGTTAGTCTCATGCAAATTAAGATGGGAAGTTCTAATTAATAGGTGAAATTAATGTTGTTTTCTATAGGCACTGGCACAACATTTTACATATCATATACAATATGTCTATTGCCCTACCTATTATGTCTGTAAATATAACAATATATGTCTAGGGAACAATCTGTCGAGACTAAATCAATGATATACCATTAACAAGTTTTTAAATACAATGTTTTTATAGCATAAATCAAACAAGAAATGTAGTGACCTCCTTATATAGCCTCACTTAACACAAGTTAGGAGTTACCTAACCCTTAACACAAGTTGGGAATAAATTGATGTTTATAAATTAACAAATCTACCCAGTGTATGCTTTAATTGATGTCTCTTCACTATATATTATTTTTTCTACATGTATATCATTCAAATTCGTCAATAAAATCAAAATATCCCCACTAAAATATAATGTTAAATTCAAATGGCTGTTTTTGCAATAAAGGGAAATAATCTATATAAAATGGACTAGATACTTATCCATTCACACTCTTATTTTTTTCATTCAATAACTAAAAACAGAATAACCTGTCAATATAACTATTGGTAAATAATCAACAAGCATAAAACATCAGTCATCTTCAAGGACACAAAAAGGAACACAGACTTAAAGTGAAAGTTTGATAAAAAAAAAATATGCACACATTTTGCATTATGGCAATATGACATACATCACAAAATAAACTCCAGAAAATATTTACAACACAATTTTAACTAGATATTTTAATAAATAACATTAATTTAAAAGCATTCACTTTCATATTATATAACAATAGAAACATTAAACCAGACTGTCTTTATATGAAAGGCAAAATAAATCTACATCAAATTTCTGAAGTACAGCTGGAAGATATTCTATATAAATATAATATATATATTTTGTCACCTAAGTGCAGTATAATAACATGCAAAATATCATAAAAACAAGAAAATACTCTCATTTACATATCAATATGTTCAATATAGTTAAAAAAGTTTTTAAAACAGTTCTAAATTACCAATTAACATTTAAACCTTTTCACACCTAAGATTAAAAGAGATTAACATACTGACAATTTATTTATTTATCTTATTTATCACTATTTGTAGCCTCATGGATTTTTTACACTAATTATAATCTCAAGGAAAAATTCTTTCACATGGATTTTCACACTACATAATGTACTTGAAACCTCATGGATTTTTTTCTCCAAACTATTTGTAACCTCATGGAAAGTTTAAAACCCTATTTATGTTAGTTTATAGAAAATTATCACATTGTAACCTCATGGAAAATCTCAAACTATTTGTAACCTCATAGAAATAATTAACACTATATGTAACTTCAAGAGCTATTACACTATGGCTTGAATCGTAAGGAGGGTTTGGCAGGGTCACCAAAAAATTACAATTGGCCAGTAACTGTTTCAAAAATGAAAAACAAAATGAATATAAATGAAAATAAATGAAAATAAATGAGTCACAAATGAAGTGAAGACCTGACATGATCATGTGACAGATATTATAAACATGACAGCATATCCCCTTCCCACAAGCTTACCTAATGATAATGATACATTAGCTGTAAGTCTACTGTCAGAATGTTCAGTAACTTCACTCTGTTACAACTAATGTCAAACCAATCCCTCCAATATATATGAGCCGCGTCACAACAAAACCCACATAGCGTGTTTGCGACCAGCATGGATCCAGACCAGCCTGCGCATCCACGCAGTCAGATCAGGATCCATGCTTTCGCTATCAGTTTCTCTTCTTGTAATAGATTTGGTAAGCGTACAGCATGGATCCTGATCAGACTGGATACGCAGGCTGGTCTGGATCCATGCTGGTGGCAAATGCACTATGTTGGTTTTGTCATGACGTGGCTCAATTATGATTATTTATGCGCTGATAATTTTGTTATGAAAAAAGAAAAAAAAACAGGAGAGAGAACATATCTCACCTTGTATGGCTAGACTGATTTAAACCAATCACATCAAGTAATACATATAATATTTGAAGACAAAATGTAAAATAACAAAGTGGGTGGGGATAGAGGAAAGACATTTCAAAATTCCCAAACCTACATAACCTGTATTAAATAAACTATAAAATCAATCAATTATATTCTGTTTTATTTTAAACAAAAGAAGGTACAGGAGCATAATTAAAAAAAAACAGAAAATTTTCATTCATTTTCTTGAAAAAAAGAAGACTTTCTCATTTACTTTCCAACATCAGCACATTCATTTCGTAGTTAAAAAGTTGGAAAGAAGTTTCATTAAAATTAAATAATAATCATAAACTTAATTATTCTGTTTCTATAGCAATATTATATTTAACCAATCAGATCATGGTTTATTGTATGTTTTACACAACAATTCAACAATCATAATAATGTGTCCCTGACCCAGAATTTGGACTATATAATTATGTCAGTGCTTTGTAAGTCACCATTTAGCATTAGCTGACAACTCAATATTTAGTGACCACTTAGAATTAGCTGACAACTCAATATTTAGTCAGCACTTAGAATTAGCTGACAACTCAATTTAGAATTAGCTGACAACTCAATATTTAGTCAGCACTTAAAATTAGCTGACAATTCAATATTTAGTTACCACTTAGAATTAGCTGACAACTCAATATCTAGTCACCACTTAGAATTAGCTAACAACTCAATATTTAGTCACCACTTAGAATTAGCTGACAAATCAATATTTAGCTAGCACTTGGCATCAGCTGACAACTCAATATTTAGATATGCTTCATAATGTTAGTTAGCACTTTTTCTTGACTAAATTAGTCATTCCCTAGCTTTACTGATGACTGTGTAAGTCAACCATCTAGTCAACCGATGAGTCAACCATCAAATCAACCAACAAGTTATCTGATAACATAATCAGTCAAAATTATTTTGACTTTTATAAACTTTAAACTTTGTTTTTGACTGAGCAAGTCAACATCTTGTTTTCATGATGATTAGGAAGTCAACATCTTGTTTTCATTATGACTAAGCAATTCAACATCTTGTTTTCATTATGACTAAGTAAGTGTAGTGTACATTCACATCACCATAAACTGAGGTAAAATGTTTGTATTATTTAGGGTAGACCCTTCTGTTACTAAGTCTGTGGCCGGGACCCGGTGGTGCTGGTTGTTTGAAGGTCTGACCTGACTGGAACTGTGCAGGATTAAACATTGCTGGCATAGAATTATTTATCTCTGGTGCGGCGGCAGTTTCTGGTGCTGTCTGAAAATATAATAATATAACAATCATTAATTATCTCTGGTGCGGAGGCAGTTTCTGGTGCTGTCTGAAAATATAATAATATAACACTCATTAATTCATGACAGTACAAAACTAAGGGTGAGATCACTAAGTAAAAGAAATAGTCTTCTGAAGTCAAATTTGAATTAAATGGACTTAATTATAATTCTATCAAACAACCTGATAAGAGTCACCAAACTTAAAACAGAAAAGTTGCAATATGAAGTTCAAGGTTACCAATCACTCAAGATCAATGTAAAAATCATCAATTTAAAGGTCTATCCCCGAAAAATTAACAATTAGACGGTGAGAGATTTGGCAAAAAACAATGCTTTTAAGTATTTTGTCTCTGTAACTGACTTACATATTTAAACATGCTAAAAGTAAGACCTGCCTTTTAACATTTAACTCACACGAAATATGATTTCAATATATTTTACCTCACATTAAAACTCATCAAGACTTTCTAAGTTTGGTAAAAATAAACAACTAAACAACTGTTACATAACATTATAACTAATCAGTCTAAAATCAATCTATTATCTAATACATGATATTTAAAAGACATCCTAAAAATTGTATTTTAAAAAAAAAATTAAAAACAATAATTGTGTGCAGTTGCCGTCAAATTTTGAATGTCAGAATCTACAAATAACATGTATATATATAGATACAAACACCCTGTGTTGTGTTAGTATGGTAGGTGAAATGTTAATAAAACCTTAGGATGGTACCTGATACACCCACGCTAGTATTTACAAACAGCATAACTTTTCTCTCCTGATAAGATTTGCATTTACATGTACTTACTTAAGAAACACAACATATAGATAATCTATCATTGAATATCGACTACTTAGAAATGTGGGTTCAGAAGACAGCATACAACTGTTGTGATTTATGTTTAATATCCCTTAACTTTTACACAAATAACTGATGACACATTTGCAAAATGCTCATATACATGAGAAGTATAAAATAAAGCCTAAATAGATACAGGTCAGCTTGTTAATGTTGTGTTGTTTAACATACAAAATACTGTTTATGTTGTGTTGTTTATTGACTACAAAAATATTGTTAATGTTTTATTGTTTACCAACTAACTATAAATACTAATTATAACGAATTGTTTATGTTGTGTTATTTACTAACTATAAATGTCTGCTTATGTTGTGTTGTTTATTAACTACAAATATATTTCTAATGTTTTATTGTTTACCAATTAACTATAAATACTAATTATAATTGATTGTTTATGATGTGTTGTTTATTAACTACAAATATATTGTTTTTGTGTTTTTTTATTAACTACAAATATATTGTTTTTGTGTTGTTTATTAACTACAAATATATTGCAAATGTTGTGTTGTTTACCAATTAACTATAATTACTAATTATAACCAATTGTTTATGTTGTGTTGTTTACTAACTATAAGTCTGTTTATATTGTGTTGTTTATTAACTACAAATATATTGTTTTTGTGCTGTTTATTAACTACAAATATATTGCAAATGTTGTGTTGTTTATTAACTACAAATATATTGCAAATGTTGTGTTGTTTACCAATTAACTATTAATACTAATCATAACTGATAGTTTATGTTGTGTTGTTTACTAACTATAAGTCTGTTTATACTGTGTTGTTTATTAACTACAAATATATTGTTTTTGTGTTGTTTATTAACTACAAATATATTGCAAATGTTGTGTTGTTTACTAACTATAAGTGTGTTTATGTTGTGTTGTTTGTTAACAACAAATATGTTGTTTTTGTGTTGTTATTAACTACAAATATATTGTTAATGTTGTGCTGCTTACCAATTAACTATAATTACTAATTATAACCAATTGTTTATGTTGTGTTGTTTACTAACTATAAGTCTGTTTATACTGTGTTGTTTATTAACTACAAATATATTGTAAATATTGTGTTGTTTACTACATACAAACTATTGCTGTTGTTGCTTATAGAATACAAAACATTGTTTGTGATGTGTTGTTTCTTAAATATTGACATTTGTTTTTGTTGTGTTGTTATTGAAGTAAATATATTTGTTGATGTTGTGTTGTCTGTTAATCTGAGAGGAGTGCATTCCCCTGACTATATTTTAAATGAAATATGCTGACAGTCTGTTCATGAGAGATGTTATGTGCAACATCTCTAGTGCCCCCCTAGCACCATCTTAAACTGTATTCAATCCTCATCACTGATGGTATTGGAATCAGCTATTTGGAGGGACGAGAAAAAGACTTCACATTAACAGGCAGGTATCCTTGTACATCTTTCATATTCTCCTACATTTCAATGTATGCCAGTTTTATCATTTATAAAACTCTTACAACAATTCAAAAGGAAGAATGTGACAGTCAAAAAATGTGCAAACAAACACAAATATTGAAACCAAGTGGAACATGAATTCAAACAGAATGAAAATTTAAGGAACCACTCTCTCTTACTATTGGGTACTGTTCTGTAAATAAACAGGAAAAATGATAATTAAGTTTGAACAAAAGAAAAAAGTAAGTAACCCCTTTATATAACAATGGCCAGTTAAAAATTATACAAATATATCATGGTATGTGTTAAGTAATAAATGTAAACAAGACCAGTATTACAACTTTTCATAGCAGGTAATGTACATCAAATATGAAAATGCTTTAAAGTAACTATGTAACTCAACATAATGGGTATTTAAACTGAACATAATGGGTCATGAAAATGAACACAATGGGAAATATACCTGAACATAATGGGCCATGTAACTTAACACAATGGGTAATGTAACTGAACATGATGGGTAATGAAACTGAACATAACGGGTAATGTAACTGAGCGTAATTGAAAATATATCTGAACATAATGGGTAATTGTACTAAGCATAATGGGTTACTTAACTGAACATAATGGGTAATTTAACTGAACATAATGGGTAATGTAACTGAATACAATGGGTAATGTAACTGAACACAATGGGTAATGTAACTGAACATAATGGGTAATGTAACTGAACATAATGGGTAATGTAACTGAACATAATGGGTAATGTAACTGAACATAATGGGTAATGTAACTGAACACAATAGGTAATGTAACTGAACATAATGGGTAATTTAACTGAATACAATGGGTAATCAAAGTGAATGAAAAAGGTCCTTTAACTTAACATATTGGGTCATTAACTAAACATGACAAGTAATTTAAAAGAAGACTTCTTGTTATTAAATGAAGACAATTGTAACTGTCTACTTCCAAATGACTGAAGATCTTGAATTTAACAGACTGGTTCTAAAACCAAACAAATAAGCAGAAAAATTGTTTTTCACTTTCTTATTTGTAATTAAACAACACATCTTTTAAATATTTTCCACAGAAAAAAAACCCAGAGAGCAAAGGAAGCTTATAAACTCACTAGGCTACTTACAATTCATTAGAATTCTGTAAAGTTATGATGAATGTATACAGTATTTTACAGTCTAGTTAAGCTACTTTTACCACATATTGCTAGGCTATATTTCCAGCATGAAGCAAACAAAGTGTAATTTTTAGAAAGTAATGAAAACCTTTCTGACAGCACTAGCAGTAACAATGAGTTTAATGTAACAAGCAAAAACTGAACAACTATATAAGCTAAATGTAAGTGATGCTATGTGTTTGAAAATCAACCACTGAAGTGATGTTTGCTCTAGATTTCTAGTGAGAGACTGCGTTTATTAGTCAAAGTATCATAACAAAAAAGTTTTTCTTTAAAACCTAGATTCCGAATTGACTCTTAGTTTAAAGTTTAATTAAGTACGTCCATACATAAAAGCTAGGATGCATATTAGATGTTAGTAGCAACATTTTGCAGAATTAGAAGTCCCAAATCAATGTGTGCTACAGTGGTCAGAGAAATCAAGTGCTTCACCATGTTCTAGGAGGGCCTTCACCTGTGAACACCATGTCCCAGACAGGCATTCACCCATGAACACCATGTCCTAGGAGGGCCTTCACCAGTGAACACCATGTCCCAGGAGGGTGTTCACAGGTGAAGGACTTCCTGGGACATGGTGTTCACTGGTGAAGGCCTTCCTGGGACATGGTGTTCACTGGTATCATGGCACAACCTTCAACTGTGACCTTTAGGGGTCCGATGGGTAGAGCTAATCAAGGTGCATATACCACACCTTTGAAGTTCTGAGACTGTAGCTGGAAGAACTGAGGTGTGCTGTGATTAAGATTAAAGTTCTATGGCAGACAGACAGACCAATATCAATATAACCTCTAGATCTATCAATCCAGAGGCAGCGTTACAATAAGTAAGACCAATTAGAGAAATAGAGAGAGATAGAGAAACTCTGATAAACATAAAACACTTCAAACTAGATAATACCTTGTTCATTATTCTTTGAACTTCTTTTGATAAAGAACTTGCTGAACTATTTCTAGATAACTGAAATAATCAAGACCAGAACTTGCTCTATTCTATTCTTTTGTATAATTTTGTATTGTATTATATTCTATTGTATAATATTGTATTGTATACCCTTCTTTTTATAATCTAGTTAAAATAGTCCTGTTTAAGGTCAATGTTTTAGTAGGAAAGAAGTGTAACATCTTTTACATCCAATTTACATGTAACAGTTAAACACTGAACTATCAAAAAAGAAAAGTTCAGCATGTACACAACAACTTCTCCACATATATGTAATCTATATACCATATATAAATTATTATTACAGAATTTAGTGTACCAGATTACAAGTGTAAATATAGCAGATAGTATTTTACTGTGACGTGCTATTATTTATATGTCACCCGAAAACAGTGCCTTCAGAGAACATTTAATTTTTATATGTATCTGATTCATTAAAGGCCCATTATGCCCCAGGAATGATTTCATTTTTATTTCTCAAGAGACTTAATATATTTTATGTACTTTTATAATTTCCATATAGCCCAATTACCTTAACCATCTTTTTCTTCTGTTGCTTTTTAGCAAATGATACAGTTATAGTGATTTAGTAGTTTGTATGGAAGTCAAAATACTACTTAGTTTAAATTTTGCTTCTTTTGTGACAAATTATTTCACATTTAACCCTACCAAAGATGTAGATATCATATTATCTATGTCTCTGGCCCTACTTTCTTCAAATAACCCTTAACATGCTCTTAAACCTTTGTTTATTCATTATAAAACTCATAATAATGTGCTATTTCAAAAGACGTAAAAATTTATTTGTTTCTGAAGCATAATTTGCCTTTAAGCAAAAAGAAATTTTCCAAATTTTCTATGAGATAAAAAAAGAAGAAATTAGAGATAATCTTATAATGGGCAACAAGAGACAATGATAACATTTACCAGCAAATAATTAAGCTATTAGACAAATATGATTTTCAACTATACAAATAAACTAATATTCTCAAATTGGTTCATTCAAGAAAACACTGTTTTATTATATTTTAAGTTATACAAGTTGCTGATGGGCTATACCGTTGGCTCAGTTGATTTAACAAAATATTTCATGACCCTGGAAAAAAATATTTAATAAATTTTCTCCAAGAATGCAATACAATTAGTCTCTTAAGCTCTCAACACCTTTTGTCCTTCAAATTCAATAACAATTCAAGTCATGTTTAAATTCTGTCTATATATCTCTAGAACATGTAATTCACATTGTTTTATCTAGATGTGTTTTTGTTTTGTTTTTTTCATCTCAAACCATTATCTTTTAACAAATCTAAATCTTAAAATACTTCATATTCTTCTCTGATATTGCTACCAATTAACGCCCTCCTCATACCCTTTTTATCTAAAAAATAACAATTAATGACACTCTCAGTTTGGTAAAATTATTTTAAACAAGAGCTGTCCGTAAGACAGCGTGCTCGACTTTTTTATTGCTTGCCAATAAAAAAAGTTTTTGCAGTAAAAGGCAATACAAGAATCTCTGTATTTTTAAAGTGAACTAGTTGTTTGATACCCTTGAATATTACAGCAATGTTTATATGACATAATTTATGGTAAAGTGAACAAGTGGATAGGAATGAATTTTTTTAGATTTTTTAAGTTTTTTAGTGCTTGCCTATAATACAAAACATTGACAGTTAAGGGCCATAATTCAAATAAAATCTTTGACAGAATTACCTTCTCCTGGACATGTTTGGGAATCATGATTGTAAACAAGTATTCCAACTTTCAAATTAATATCTCAAACAGTTCAGTCAAAAAGTGGACTGGTACTAAAAACTTAACCAAGATTCTAAGTCGATAAAAGGCCTTAATTTTTAAAACAAATCCTTGACAGAGTTACCTTCTCTTGCGTACAGATGGGGGTAATGATGTGAAATAGCATTAAAAGTTTCAAAGCAATATCTCAAAGGGTTAAGGCAATAAGTGGATTTTACCCATATTCAATGTATTTTCTAAGTCAAAAAGGGGCATAATTCTGTCAAAAACCTTGACAGAGTTATGTCCTCTTGTCTGTTGATGAAGGTCGTGATGGTAAACAAGTATGGTCAGTTTCAAAGCAATACCTCCAATGGTTTTGAAATAAAGTGAGGTGGTACAAAAAACTTAACCAAGCTCAATACACTTTCTAAGTCAAAAAAGGGCCATAATTCTGTCAAAAACCTTGACAGAGTTATGTACTCTTGTCTGTAGATGGAGGTTATGATGGTGAACAAGTATGGTAAGTTTCAAAGCCATACTTGTAATACTTCTGAAATAAAGTGGGGTGGTACGAAAAACTTAACCAAGGTGTGACGCCAACGCCGACGCCGGGGCGAGTAGGATAGCTCCCCTTTTCATAGAAAAGTCGAGCTAAAAATCCTGTATTTAATACTAGATCATAACAACGGATAATGATTTTTATAAATTGAATTGGATCTTTAATAAACATATTTTTAAAGCACATTTTTACAGTTCTTATTAGCCACCCCCTCCCCTTTCTGAAAAAATGCAAGTCCCTGTAGGTGTTCAATATAAACTTTCCTTTTCCATTACAGACAGAAGCAAATCCCATGCCAACTGAATCAGAATACAAGCATGCATATATTATAAAACTGAATCCATTCCTCACAACAAATATTTCACACTGAGAAATAAGAAATCCTCATATCTCTATTCATGTGTACTTACATTTTCAGTCATGGGAGGTAACTGTAAATTGCCAGCTGGTGTATTTGAGACATTAGAGTTGTCTGCCCCTTGTTGACTAGTTTTCTCTTCAGGGATAGAATCGTGAACCTGTGAGGGTAGATCTGTGGCGGAACCCTCTGTAAAAAATATACATTAACTATAATTATCATTTTTATATAGCTTTTATACACATTTCTTGCATTAAAAGTTTGTATACTTTTGCCCTTAATCTTAAACTTGCACTGCTCAAATGACATATCACAAGCTAGCATTTGACTGATTGATTTTCTTTAGACCGACAGGTCAAGGATTACCTACGAAAGTGCAATCACTTATTTCCAGTAGGGTCCTTACCTCAGCAGACTCTACAGACAGCTATGAGATACAAGGGAGTACGGGAACCAGTCCCTAGCTCTTATTGAATAGACCCCTTGGTTCTTTTACATGCCCAGTGTATAGCACTGATACATGCCAGGATTACCTGAGTTTCTTCCCAGTAAACCTCTAGGTAGGTGGGAAACACTGAAAGTGTCTCTGAAAAATCCCAAGGGTGTTACCCAGGATCAAACCCGGAGCCTCAGGAGTGACAGTCAGTGGTCTAACCAACTGAGCTATCACATCATTACATTATAACACAAGCTAGCATCTGACATAAAATCACAAGTTAGCATCTGACCATTTGATTATATACTGTACAGTAAACCAAGGCTAAATAAACAAAGTAATGACGTACCTGCATTTCCCATTGGGTTAAATATAGCCGGAGCAGATCGGGAACTAGGTAAAGTATGAAATAAACTTGAAGGCACTTGAGATGTTGTAGCTGGTTTAGGATTCATCACATCAACATACTTTGGACCTGAAATATATAACACAGTAATCTAACTAATCTAAAAACAAGGGGGCCACTGGCTCATCTAAACACAGATTGTTTTTTTTGTTGTTGTTGTTTTTAAAAGCAGTGAAAAGTGGAAGTGTTTTTTTACCTTAATTTGAACGCTGGTTGGTAACCAGACCATAATTCATGCTAGAAGACCGACAGATGATATCATATACCAAATATCAAAACTCTGGGCTTTGTACTTTCAGACAAAAAGATTTTTTTGAATTTACACTTTTGAAACTTCTTTTTTTGTGGCTCTGTGTCATTCTTAAGCAAAACTTAATCAAAAGAGTTTGACTTGTATCATTCAACAAATAATTTAGACAATCAGGCTATTGTAAATAAAACTGAGAAACTGTCAATGTCTCAGAAACTCTAAACAAACCCTAATTATTCTTGAAATACACCACACTCCCCGATTACTTATAAAAACTAACTAAATATTTAATAATGATTTTTTTTCCCAAAAGTGATTTTTTTCTGACCTTCACTCAATTTTGTAATTTTTTGAATATTTGACATTCAAGATAAACACACAAACTTTTGAATATTTGACATTCAAGATAAACACTTATAAGCTTTTGAATATTTGACATTCAAGATAAACACTTATAAACTTTTGAACATTTGACATTCAAGACATACACGAGAAAATTAACTTCCAGTCATGATGCTTGTTGGGTCTATCTATATTTGAAGTTAACATGTTAATCAGTTTAGAACAAATTTCCTGAAAAGTTGATCTATTATAAACTCTATTTCAATATGTCAAAATGATTAGCTAATACAGAGTATCTTGTCTACCAGTATGAAGATATTACAGAGAACAGTGAACTTTCTCCAAGTATGATTGTCTAAATGATAGAAAATGACAGACAGAATATGTTAGGGAGAAAATGCTTGTCTCCAGGTATAAAGGCTCTATTAATAGACGGATTATGCCATTCTTTGAACTATAACATTGAATACAATCCTGTTTAAAGGGAAGTTTTTCATTAATACCTGACCATAAAGTCTTAACATTATGTTAACCCATATCCACCATATCCAGCATATATTTCTCTCCTCCTCCATCATAAAGCAAGCATTGTTATTTTATTCTATATTCCCAATATTTATCAATACCTAATATCTCGTCTGGTTAGTAAAACAGGAAGTTATCTGGATTGCCAACTTTTAGCTGAAGTGCATGTGGTTGAGTTTTGACTATGACAAGGGGCAATAACTCTTTCATGAAAATAAAGGTTTCAACCTTTCATAATAACTACCAATGAAAATTCATCTTATAATATTGGTTAAACAAACTGCCTGGACTTTATAAGTTATGTGATTCTATAAAATTTAGATAAACGATGTGTTTCCCACAAAGGAAAGGCTATAAATATATATATATAAGGTTACAAGCAGATAAAGTGAGGAAATGATGGGTACATATTATACAGCTTTGTCATAACTTGATGGAAATCATATACAACATTTTGTTAATTATTCAGGTCCACTAACACTGTCAAGGTCATCACTTTCCAACTTTTACAGGAAGAAAGACCTACAATGTCTGGTCTTGTGATATATTATATCAGGTCAGATCTAGCATTAGTCTTGTAATATATTATATCAGGTCGGATGCAGCATCAGTTTTGTGATATATTATATCAGGTCAAATCTAGCACCAAAATATTTTGTAAGTTAGTGAGGTAGCTAGCATGTATAACTTTACAAACATAAAGTACAAGTTATGACAGAGCTGTGATAAATCCAAGGAATTTACATAAAGACAATACTAACCCGCAGAATCTGTGGATAGAAAAACAGAGCAAAAAAATATATAAACATTATTATAGCAAAGCAAGTTTCTATCTAACATGCATTGTACATACATTGTGTAGCTATACATTAAAGTTATACTATTAGAAATGTTTCACAAAAGTGATGTAAATGTCAGTTAAGGGATAGTACAGATTGACCTTGTATTTTGATAACAAAAAGTAATGTGTGTACTGTCGCAGACACTTGGAAAGTTAGCTGGATAGTTATGTAAAAATCACCTCCTTTTCTCCCATTTTGTTTATAAAGACAACTTTGATTTAGGAACAATTTTGTATCTTGTTAATTCAATGCATTCTATACAATACATCTATGACATGGAAATTGATTAAGTTAATCTTACATAAGCTATTAGATAAATAAAATGTGCAAAGAAAGTTTATATAGGCGAAAGATAAAAAATTTTAAAACACTAATAAAGATGTACAAATCTACAAAAGCAGTATTATTAAATATTTTGCAATACAAGTTTACAATATCTATATCTTAATGAGAGCAAACATGCACAATATATTTACCTCTTCTCATAGAGAACTTATTACCACCAGGTGGCAGTGTATCCCTCGAGGGTGCAGCACCTGGCGCTGGTCCAGCATTCAGTGAACTGAGCTGACTTGTAGATCCAGGACCTACAACAGTTAACAGAAACATTTACATGATGATATAACTTCTATATTTGTTGTTTTGTAATTGTAGTTATATGACTGTTGCCAAGTGATGTTGTTATATAATAGTTTTTTGTTTGTTTTCGGTTTTACGTCACATCGACACAGTATAGGTCATATCACGACGTTCCAGCTTTACTGGTGGAGGATGGCCTCAGGTGCCCTTCTGTGCATTATTTCAGGCACAAACGGGCACCTGAGTAGAACCACTGACGTTCCATAAGCTGGCTGGATAGCTTCCTCACATGAAAGAATCCAAAGTCCCTGTCGGGATTCAAACCTACAGCGGTGAGGGGCAAGTGGTTTAAAGTCAACCACCTTAACCACTTGGCCACGGACGCCCCTTATATAATAGTAGTTATATATGATTGTGTTATATGGTTGTTGTTATATGGTTGTTGTTATATGATTGCTGTTATATGATTGTAATTATATGAGTGTTGTTTTTTAACTGATGTTATATTTTTTGTTTTTTTTTGTTTTGGGTTTTACGTCACATCGACACAGTATAGGTGGTATCGCAACGTTCCAGCTTTACTGGTGGAGGAAGACCTCAGGTGCCCTTCCGTGCATTATTTCAGGCACAAACGGGCACCTGAGTAGAACCACCGACGTTCTGTAAGCAAGCTGGATAGCTTCCTCACATGAAAGAATCCAAAGTCCCTTTAGGGATTCGAACCCACAGCGGTGAGGGGCAAGTGGTTTAAAGTCAACGACCTTAACCATTGGCCACGACGCCCAACTGATGTTATATGATTGTTGCTATATAACTTTTTAATATAATTGTTGTTATACGATTGCTTTTATATGCTTGTTGTTTTATAATTGTAGTTATATGATTGTTGTGTTATATAATTTATCTGTTACAGTAAATATAGACAAGATTGATCACAAAACATAAAGTTGTTGTGAAAAATTCCTCAATGTCTGCTTTTACATCCAATTTCTAAATGCGGGCTAGAGAAAGAACAATAACACAACAAATGGAGGAGTCACAGAAATACAAACTCAGGGCATATAACTCAAAGTCAGCAATCTGATCTCAAATATCCTCAATTTTTATGTATTTGCTACTAAAATCTTTTCAGCATAAAATGAACTGTTCCAAATTTAAAACAGGGCAAAATTCAACAGGTGAATACCTTTTAATTCATGATCTTTCGGGGGCGGGGCCGCGGGTTTCTCCTCCTCCTCACCACCATCTTTATCCACCCATCTTTTCTTCACATCATCCCATACAATCTATACAAATATAAGTTCATATATTTTTATCTAAACTTTCAACATAAATCACTCTTATGTCCTAGAATGACCAGTAAGGATGTCATATACGGAAACATGGCCGTGACACCAGTAAAACTTGAAACATAATAATTCCTGTATTGGGTCACAGACTCCTAAATCATTGTGATTTCACTCCTCTAGTAATTCAATTATATTACTTTGTAATTGATGGGTAATGTTTTAAAATATGATAAACATGATCAATAAGGAAAGGCGACATTCATTGGGCAGCGTTCAATGAATGCATAAGTAAGTCACAGTACCCGCAAAACTGCCAACCCTACTTCTGTCAGTCACCAATCTCATTACTAGTATTTTCTTGTTAACAACTTACATTAGATTGCGACATAACTATGATAAAATAACAATCTGACATCCCACGTTATAATGACATAATTTATGCCATGAGAATATAGTAAAATCTTATTAATCTTCTACATTATCAACAGTTTAATTTTCTTATATTAACAATGAAATCTCTTAATCTAACACTAGACAGCAAAAAACAGGAATATTTGATTTTACAAATACAGCAAGATTTATGTGAGTAAATTAAAACAACATACAGAAGGCTCTTTATCATCCGGTAGTTTCATTTCATTCTTACGAGAAAACAATCCTCCTATCTTAGAGAGAAATCCACCACCTGCCGCCGCTTTCTTTGGCTGAGACTACAAGATAAATAATAACAACATCTCATTGATATAATAAACAGACTAGTACACTAGTTATGATCCACGTGAGTTTAATTATAAGTTTTCATTCATAAAAGACAAAAGCGAAGTTCAGGTTTAAAGAATGTATTTAGGTATACGTGTACTATGGATCACTTGAATCACATATCAAGTTTACAAAACAAATATAAATAAATTATCAGTGTGTGACTTTTACAAGTCATCATTTACAATCAAAACGCTTTGTTAGTCAACTTGCATGTACAATTATAATCATTTACATATAATATTCTCTATAAAGACCTACTAAGAGATTTTCATATTATCTCCAAAGTAGTATAATCTTCAAGACTGCCCATTACCAGCTTGCAAGATTTAGCCTCTCCTATGATTCAATGAGTTTCAGACAAAGACATCATCAACATAATATATGTCATAACAACATCATTAATATAATAGCTACAATAACAACATAAATGCCAATCAACTTACAGCACATACACACATGTTGCAGTTTAAAAATTGACTAGCTCACTTTTTTTAGAACTGACCATTTAAGAAACATAAAGATTAGAAATTTAAGTCATAAAGGTGGCAAATTTATATATTTCGAGACACTCATTTTCTCGACAACTAGATGGAAAATTTATATAACTCATATATCGGGGAGAGACCATTTCCACAACCACTGTATTGATAAATTTAGAAGTCTGTAAAAACATCGATTTCCTGATGCCGTTATTTTGCAGTGAAACTTTCCCATAATTTGATGAAGTCATTAATACTGAATCTGCTAGGTCTATTTCATATTCAAAAAGTACATTGTTTTTTTTTCAATGTTTTTTTTTCTGTAACCAAATGAGATTATCTTACCAAACTGTCCTTATTATTATCGGACTTCTGTTTTTGTTGATGATTATGATTACCACTTGAGTTACGATCTCGTCCCACACCACTTCCTGTACTCGTTTCCGACGTTGTTCGCTTCCTTAACTTTGGCGCAATTATTTTTTGCTGAGTGGGTTGAAGGTCAAATATACTTGGTGCCGGTTCATGAAGTCCGGCTGAATCAACATGATCCTCCGCTTCTATACCATTATCCTGCGGGAAACTTGACGTTGATGCCAGACTACCGCGTTTAGCCGAGTCGGATGATACAGCCGATGTTTGACTCTCACCGAGATTTACGTCGGGAGGAAAACCATGTGATGTCTGATATTGCCCCGCATTTTGATCCCAATGATTGCCTGCCATTCCACGAAAGAAAATATAAATTAAAAACCTTACAACCAGAAAATTGCATAATACACTTTTTTATAAATACATTATAACTATACATTACATAAATATATTTCTTTTTTTAATTATGTGTCAATAATTATTGATCTTTATAAGAAGTATTAGGTCTATGTAAGCTTGAATACTGTACAGATCTCAATTAATTTCTCAATCAATAACTGTCATCATGTCATAATAAATCATTAGATTTATGTGTAAGCCACCATTGTAAGATTGTAAAATATATGTTACTATAAATACAAACTTGTTAACTTGATTTTAGCCAGTGCTAGTGGGTGTGAGGGTTGTTGCACTTATTCATTACCCCTCACATACAGACTAAATCAAACAGAGTCTGCAATTTTCATGTAATTTTGTTGTGATTAATGCTTCTGAGGGATCACTTTGTTTCCAGATTTTTTTAGAAGTAAAGGTGAAGCTAGCATATTATTTGATAAACAAAAGTTGTACACATATTTCAAGTTATTATGAAATTTTTCACTAACCATATTGCGTAAAACTGCCAGCAGTTTGATGTTGATAGTTGTTATCTGTGTTTTGATTGGTCGGTTCAATATTAGGATGATTCTGATTGGTTGATTCTACAGACTGTTCTGGCCATTGTAAGTTACCCTTCTGACCTGAATTTATCAAATACACAAGTTTATCTAATTTATTTCATTACTATATCAAATACACAAGTTTATCTAATTTATTTTATTACTATATCAAGTCATTTCAACACTAGTAAGGACACAATTACTAACTTACAATATAAGTCAATATTTCCCCATTTATATATGTTATTATGACATATAAATAAAGACAAAGACATTTTATGTAAACTGACTCTAAAAATTATTTAGAACATCAAGAAAAATATAAAGTTTGACAATAAAAAAAACTTTTTAAAAATGAAATGAATAAGCAGTCACATATTGCAATTCAAACCAGTGTGAAAGTGAGTTTGAGCACTGGGAAAGTGGGTTTAGCAGAGGGAAAGTGGGTTTAGCAGAGGGAAAGTGGACTTGAGCACTGGTAAAGTGGGTTTGAGTACTAGAAAAGTTGGTTTTAGTACTGAAAAAGTGGTTTCAAGCACTGGAAAAGTGTGTTTTAGTATTGGAAATGTGGGTTTAAGCCCTGGGAAAGTTGGTTTAAGCCCTGGGAAAGTTGGTTTAAGCCCTGGGAAAGTTGGTTTAAGCCCTGGGAAAGTAGGTATGTGTCATGGAAGAAAATGGTTAAAGCCCTTCTTAGGTCTTGACTATAGATTCCTCATAGAATATTATTTAACTAAATTAGATAAGGTCAAACCTTGTACGTGAAAAGGGCTAATATTTAGGTGAAAATTTAGTATAACTAAACATGTTTGTATTAAACTATCATTAACAGTATTTCATAAACTGGCAGGAAAAGACATACCATCAGTTATCTGCCCTTGTTGCTGGTAAGGTACTTGTCCCTGTTGTTGTAGGTATTGATTGTCTGCCCCTGATGTCACATGTTCTGTACTATATGGTTGTGCTTGTGAATTTTCAAAACCATTACCATACTGTGTCTCCTATAACAACAGATGTTATATGAAAACTTGATCAGTGATTTAAGGAAAAGTATTTTGGACAGGGTTATCAATATATGAATAACACATGGGTTTGTGGGTAACAGTAAAAATATCATCCCAATGAAAATACTGTTATAATACATATTTCAACAGTATTTTTATGAGGGATGATATTTTTACTGTTACTCACAAACCCATGTGTTATTTTTTTTAATTACCCTGAACAAATCATTTGAAAATTTCAACTAAATCTAACTGTAACAAAATTTAACCAAAAGTAACAATAAATCAACTATCCTTACCTTGCAAGTTGAAAAAAAAAACTAGAAATGTGTCCATAGGACACGGATGCCCCCACACGCCACTGTTCTGTCAATCTTATGACTCTAGGTCAAATATTTTTTGGACTACATGTGCCACAAGTTGAAAACTAAAAATCAACAAAGGCCAATAATTCTGTTAAATTTGGTCGCAGCAAAAATTCCTTCCTTTACTACCATCTACACATTAAGGTTGTTAATCCCTGTAAGTTTAAGCAAAATCTGCCATCCGGTTTAAGAGGAGTTGCGTTCACAAAATTTCTACACAGTATATAGTGAAAAATCAACAAAGGGCCATAATTCTGTTAAATTTGGTCGCAGCGAAAATTCCTTCCTTTACTACCATCTACACCTTAAAGTTGTTCATCCCTATAAGTTTAAGCAAAATCTGCCATCCGGTTTAAGAGGAGTTGCGTTCACAAAATTTCTACATAGTATATAGTGAAAAAATCAACAAAGGGCCATAATTCTGTAAAATTTGGTCGCAGCGAAAATTCCTTCCTTTACTACCATCTACACCTTAAGGTTGTTCATCCCTGTAAGTTTAAGCAAAATCTGCCATCCGGTTTAAGAGGAGTTGCGTTCACAAAATTTCTACATAGTATATAGTGAAAAAATCAATAAAGGGCCATAACTCTGTTAAATTTGGTCGCAGCAAAAATTCCTTCCTTTACTACCATCTACACATTAAGGTTGTTAATCCCTGTAAGTTTAAGCAAAATCTGCCAACTGGTTAAAGAAGAGTTGCGTTCACAAAATTTCTATATAGTATCTAGTGAAAAAATCAACAAAGGGCCATAATTCTGTTAAATTTGGTCGCAGCGAAAATTCCTTCCTTTACTACCATCAACACATTAAGGTTGTTCATCCCTGTAAGTTTAAGTAAAATCTGCCATCCGGTTTAAGAGGAGTTGCGTTCACAAGATTTCGGGACGTACGGACGGACGGACTGACGGACGGACTGACGGACGGACGGACAAGTGCAACGCTATATGCTCCCACATTGTGGGGGCATAAAAATGTGTGACCAGATTTTTATACTGTCAAAAAATTACTATTACGTGCAAACAAAACAATTTTCTTAGTTGTATGGTACACTTGCTTTAACAGTAAGAATAAATCCCAGTGGTCTATGGGAAATTCTAACATGACCCGCATTTTTCCCTATTGAACATAGAAGGACAGAAAGTGTGTGTTATTATGCAACAGATGCACAGTTTGACGTTCTATATTTAGACATGTGACTTAATCATTATACACGTGACGTAACCACTAAAAATCTGATGCGCTGAAAATAAGTTCGGAAACAAATCAGGCGCAATTTTGCTTACTATCAAGTACCGCAACATTTATTTGTTATTGTCGTGTTAGAATCGAAATAATATATCCAAATCAGTGATTTTATTGCCTGATAACATCACTGTTTGTCGTTCGGATGCGCATCATTATATCACTCGGGCTAAGCCCTCGTGATATAATTCCTCGCATCCGAACTCCAAACAGTGATGTTATTGAGCGATAAAATCACTGTTTGGGATATATTATTTCTTAATTAACATTACAAAACAGTGAGGTGTAATAAAAAATTAAAATGTTAAAATCCATATAAGCCAAATCTACCTTTACTATTGAAGGAACCATATATGCAGCATCTAGTTTAATTATGTTAACTTGTATGAAACAATCAAACATTACCTACCTGATACTGTACCTGACTGTCTACGCCAGGGTGTTGTTGTTGTTGATAATTTTCATGTATACTTGACATCTGACCATTGTTTGTCATATACGACGCCTCCTGTCATATATATATATAGAGAATAATGAATATGTGTTGGTTCTATACTATATTACTGTACTAAACAAGTGTAGGACTCCAGGTATGATATATATTTATTGATGAGTGTAGGTTCCATATTGCATTAACTGAATCAGAGTAGGTTTTTTACTGAATTTATTCAATTAGTGTATGTTCTATACTGAATTTATTGAATGAGTGTAGGTTCCATACTAAATTTATTGAATGAGTGTAGGTTCCATACTAAATTTATTGAATGAGCATAGGTTCCTATACTGAACTTATTGAATGAGTGAAGCTTCACTACATTCTATTCATCACATACTTAAAATAAGAACAGTTTACAGTAATAAGGAATCATTCTTTTACCGATATGCTTATATTGTAACACTAACAACTGTATAATACATATGAACTCACTGCTGCCTTTTCTCTTGTAATAAGCCTCTGATATACTTTAAATCCATTATTTAACCATTATAAAACACAAGGCATATTCTTTTCTGAAGCTCAATATGTGGGTCTAACAATGCAAGGGTAATATGACCCCAGTTATGATTTAAAACATGAACAAGCACTTTTGTAAAACATCTAGTTTTTTTATAAATTAGCTGGATTTTTTCTTCACATGTAAAATCTTAAAATTATTTATTTTTAAGTTTTAACTTACAGCAGTTACTTTAGCATTTAGCTCCTATTCTGTTAAGAAATGTATTTTAAAAGAAAGTATAACTTGAATATATATATTAATATATAGGAAATTTACCTGTGCATACATGGTACCGTTGTCAGTTCCCTGCATGTACATGCCAACTTCTCCACTGTCACTACTCGCTGTTGTACGACCCCCGTAAAATGCAGGAGTTGCGGACCCTGACGCAGGCAGAATTGCACCTTCCTATTAACATATTAATACAGACAGTGAATTATCTAGTATCATCTATAAAGTCTGTTTTTTATTGGGTTTTAATTCCAGTATTTTAAATAAAGTAAGTTGGGTGGTTTGAATGTCACGGCTGGTCGAGTACACTACATTAAGTCAACAGTATAAAATTACCTCAAATTGCACGAGTGTTGTATGTAATGCACGAAGCCAATCTGGGTCAGCAACATCATCTTCTTCTAAGTTCTGAGGTTGACTAAACTTTATCTGACTGGAAAACTGTAAAAAAAACAACAACAACCATGACATATTAGGATGTTAATTAAAAAGATAAAAAAACATAAATAATAATAAAAATCTGGATACATAGTGATCCCTCGGAAGTATTAATCACAACAAAATTACATGAAAATTGCAGACTCGGTTTGACCTGAGTCTGTACATGAAAAAGAAGTGAGTGGTCTGTGTTTTGTTTATAAACATTTGATTTGTCAAATAAAGTTTAAGAGGATGTTCCTTACAGTCAATTATATATCAGCAAACATTTACTTTAAGGAATTTCGAGAATTAGCTTGTAAGGTAAGAATATAAATAAGTAAGAACCTGTGATAAATATATGTTACTTACATCATACACCAACTTGACTAGAATATGTGGGAAGAAGGCTGGGTTTACATTTATATATTTTGAGATCACTTCACAATATTGCAGTGCCTGAAATCAAACATGAATCTTATTATATTCAGTATGAAACACAAAACAAAAAACTTCACACTTAAGTGATTAAACTATGTTAACTTCACACTAATCAGAGATTAAATAGAGGATATTTGTTTTGCATGTAAGATTGAAATATATTTCACTGAGTGAACATCAGATGCAATATTTTCAAAAGTGGCGTTACCACATATGAAAATAGAACAGCTGGTGTTCACAAACGAAATATATTTCAATCTTATATGTAAAACTAATAAATTTCCTTTTTAATTCATACTTTTTAAGTGATTTTAAGTAATTTTTACTGATTTTGCTGTGTAATATCGCGCATTTTCCTTTAATATGTCATCAATTCATGATGTTACATCATCAATTTTGAAATATAGTTCTGTTAAATTTCTCTGATTTAATACATTTTTAACATAACGTATTATAACATCAACTTTCTTTTCCTACAGAAGCAAAGTTTAGGTATTACAGCGTTTATTATTGCCTGTAATTCAATTTAGTTATGATATTCTTTTCATCTGCATTCAAATATAGTCTGGCTTCAGTGAAAATTATATTTCATGAATTTCAATTGAGGTTTATTAGAATATAATCATCTGATATATTACAGTAAAACACAGGAAAGCATGAAATACATTATGTTTAACTTCACACTTCAGAGATTAAACTATATTTCATCCATAAAAATTTGTGAGACTATTATAACCTTCACACTTCTCATTAACATAACTGACAGCCCTGCTGGGAATATGAAATAGTCAATTAGAAGATAAAGAACCTTTAATCTGCTTGTAACAGGTTTGTGCAGCTTTGAATTTGCAATATTGTGGATTCAAACTTAAAAAGGATTTAAACATAAAGTTTACGGAAATATTATGCTACCACCAGTATAAAGCCTGGTAAGACAGGATACAGGTGCAGTCTGGCCTGGTGCTACTCTGGTGGCAAACATTCATCACTTATACCTAAAGGTTAAAGTAACAAAGATATCATAAACCTATCGTATTAATGACCTTATAAACAAATATATTTATATATATAAACACTTACTTCTTGAGCAAAACCATAGTCAGCCAGTCTCGTAGCGTACAGGTACTTAAATGTCTGGAAAATAAAGTAGTCAAATGTATGTATATTATGTCATGCAAGTATGTGGGGTGGTAAAAGTGATCTAATTAATTATTACAGCATCAGCTGTGTCCTTCTCAACATTAACTTGCATAAACACAAACTCTTTAAACTGCAACACAACATAGGTTTTTCAAACTATTAAGTTTTCTCAAATAAAAAAGAGATATTTCTAAAGCTTTAAACAATTCATGACTAAAAAATTATTACAAAAGTCCAAAATGGTTGCTACAATTGTTTTTTATGCATAAACTTCGCAAAACAAAAAATAAGACAGACACACAGATATTTACCTGAAAGTTTATTAAGTTAGTCATCATATTTCCTAGTGATATAGCATATTCATAAATCTCTGTACATTGTATAGCCTCGTCCGTCGCAAAATATTGTAATGGTAGGCCATGACTTGAGCCGACCAGTACTATCTTTGAAGATTTTTTGTTGTACGATCCAAAACTTGTCTGGGACATCAAGTAACAAAAATGACTGGCATGTAAAAACCCTCTAGAAGCTGAAACAGAACATAAACACAACAATAAAACAATAAACAATCATTGAACTGAAATCATACCTATACATGTGTTTATAATATTTGAACAATTTAAATGGTTCAGGCATTTTGTAAATATTGCTATTTTTACTGCTGGAGGATATTCATATTCACTATGCAGTGTTTCACCCACCAGTGACAGTAGGTCTTCTTCTTACTACCTACTGCTCTAGTACAAACCTATTTAAATGATATGACTTTTAGTCTTGTTTATACTTGCCATAATTTCTTGCCAACATTCATCATATACTGACTGACTGAATAGGAAACAGTGCGAACCATGATGTGTTGGCCGACTTTGGTCTGCACTGGTGAAACAACCTTGGTCTGTACTAGTCCACCGACCTTGGTCTACATTGACCTTGGTTTGTACTATTACTGACCTTGGTTTGCATTGGTCCAGCAGGTCAGGACTTAAAACAAACATACCTAGTGTATCTCCCAGAGTTGTTATAGATTTCCTGTCTAGATCGGGTTTCTGAGAATGGTTAGACAATATCATAGCTAGATGTGGCCGCCAGTCTCCCCATCTTTCCTCCGCTACACACTGTTAATATATATGTGTACTTCATTATAATAAATCAACAACAAATTATATTTATCCATTTTATAAATTTTATAGTAAAAAAGATTTCAGTTACGTTATCTAAAAAACGCTTTGTTATTGATATTTTTAATCTGAAACTAACTTCTACATAATGATGTTACTATTTTTAGATTTTGTGTGTACACATGTGTACAAACAAACGATGTTGTTACTATGCAAAATTACTTTTGCCCAGATGATCATAAGAGAAACTGGTTGGCAAATCATTAAATTAGTTACTTCATGGACTGTCTTCTATGTTTTGTTTTATTGAATGTCACTTTTTTCAGACACTAACTTGACTTTTTTTGTATTTCAATATATATAAAATTGACAGGTATATTTATTTGCTGGGTTGCATTTCAGGTCACAGTAACACCATTAAGATAAAGATATTACAGTTAAGTTTTAGTGAAAGACTGGAGTTATTCCCTTTCATATACTTATTTCAGGTTCAAATGAACACCTAAATTGATCGTCTTTGTCAACATGTTCTAGTTTCAGATCCTCACCTCTATGGTTTAATGCCAGGATGTTATAGCTTAGCTAGATATAACAAATTGCTTATCTTCCTCATATTACACTACTCAGATACAGTTAGGCAAAATTTAGTCAGACACAGTTAGGCAAAATTAAGTCAGACACAGTTAGGCAAATGTTGTCAAAACACTACAACCCTTATACAAAACTATAACATGACAGATTCAATATCTCTAGAAGATACAACATATATATTTTTTTCTCTTTTAATCATCACATTCAATAGCTGCCAAGTTTACAGTATTTATCATGAAGTTATAAAATGTGATATATATATATATAACATACAGTGACAGCGGCTGGTTGTCGTCCTGACATCATCTGATACAGTGTCTGCAGGGGGTCATTCATACGCATTGCTACATTAGCAAACCTGTAAACAATACAAATTAACAGTGTAAAATAATATCTTATAATTGGAAAATAATCACTATGATAGAAATGACAAAGCTAGAAAAGTATAAAAAAAAATCAATTTCAAGCCTCTGACATTAAACCAACTAAGAGTAAATGATCCATGCAAAGTAATTATATCACATATATTAAAAGTAATAGTCAATAAATGAAGTACTGCAAAGATAAGTTATAAAAAATCTATTTTTAGCTTCAGTAACCTTAACCCTCACCAATTTTAAACACCTTTCAAGGACAATGCATGTTTAGCGACTCAGGGCCTAGTGATTAGGGGTGTGAGGGATGTTGCACCTTTCAATTATCTCTAATGAACAGTCTCAATCAAACCACAAAACCTGTAATATTTATGATATTTTGTTGTTGTCATTGTTTATGATGGTTCTCCCTTCAACTAGTTGCTTCATTTACCAACCAACAAACAATATCCACTTATATAAATAAAAAAAACCCATTACACTTCATTTTACCTCTTCTATACGTACTGTCACTCAGCACACACTAACAGTTCATATACAGAGGATATTGAATGAGGGTAGGTTTGATACTAAATTTATTGAACGAGTTGAAAAAAAATCATATTATGCCAGCCTCTGGCGAGCATAATATTGTTTTATCCAACAATTTCAACAAATTTAGTATTGAATCTACAGGAATATAATATTCTATTTATCACATATTCAAAGAAATAACAGTTTACATTTAAAACGCGTCATTTTTCATTGATGCGCCTAGTGACACGCTAACATTAGCGAGTTTTAACACTATAGCGCAAATTATGTCACATGTTATTACACTAGCGTAATATCGTTTTTATTAAATGGCTTTATTACACTCCTGCGCTGCGGTTTATGTGATAAAAGATAGTTTACCTCATCATAACATTGGCATGAGCTCGACTATCCATCTTACTGGCGAGGAATAAAGCATGTCCCCACAGGTTATTCTTCATTGCCCAGTCTAGAGCATCCTGTAATATTTACAACAATATTCATTGATTCAGATTCATCATTTTTTTTACCAAATATAATGTATATAAAGCACCTTTCTTCATTGTACGGTAGACGCCTTTTAATTGCTTCTTTCCCTTGTGAAATTCTTTAAATTCTTTAAATTTATGCTGTATTCCCTAAAATTGAATTTACATCAGGTATTTTCTTCCCCTTTAGTTTTTCAAAAATGTTACTTCCCCCCAATTTCAGAAGGAGGGTCTCTTCCCCTACCTATGAAAAAGGGAGAGAGATTTTGACTTCAAATGTTCAAGTTAAGAATATGACAACTCTATATGTATGGTATAAGAAAGGCATTCTTATTTTAGGTATTAAACAACGAGGAAACATTTGTAAATCTATAGATTCAATAGGAGAAAATGATCAAATGCTGTAATTTACACCTGTATAAATTCAAATTGAGAATTTGGCTATAAGGGAACAAGATATGTTTGTAAAACATGTATGCCCCCTATCAGCAGCCAATTAGTCATGTGATAAGGTTATTATGCATGACTTCTGACCCAGTGATCAAACAATTAATAAGGGTTATCAAGTATCTACTGGTCATGACCTTGACCTTTGACCCCTTGACCCAAAACTCAATAGGGGTCATCTGCTGGTCACGACCAATCATCATACAAAGTTTGAAGTTCCTAGGCCTAAGCGTTTTTAGTTAATTGACCGTTTTTACCTACAAGGTCAATGTGACCTTGACCTTTGACCCCTTGACCCCAAAATCAATAGGGGTCATCTACTGATCATGACCAATCACCATACCAAGTTTGAAGTTCCTAGGCCTTAAGGTTCTTTAGTTATTGATCGGAAACTGTTTTTGCTTACAAGGTCAATGTGACCTTGACCTTTGACCCCTTGACCCCAAAATCAATAGGGGTCATCTACTGGTCATGACCAATCACCATACCAAGTTTGAAGTTTTTAGGCCTAAGGATTCTTTAGTTATCACTCGGAAACCGTTTTTACCCAAGAGGTCAATGTGACCTTGACCTTTGACCCCAAAATCTATAGGTGTCATCTACTGATCATGACCAATCACCATACCAAGTTTGAAGTTCCTAGGCCTTAAGGTTCTTTAGTTATTGATCGGAAACCGTTTTTGCTAACAAGGTCAATGTGACCTTGACCTTTGACCCCTTGACCCCAAAATCAATAGGGGTCATCTACTGGTCATGACCAATCACCATACCAAGTTTGAAGTTCCTAGGCCTAAGGGTTCTTTAGTTATCACTCAGAAACCATTTGGTCTACGGACCGACGGACCGACAAGTGCAAAGCAATATACCCCCTTTTCTTCGAAATGGGGGCATAATAAGCCAAATACTCTACTAGAATAAAAGCTATTTAGTTTTTCGTAAATTAGCAACTCAATATGAAATTTTAATTCATAACCTTTACACTTCTTACATTAAAAGAATGTTTTAAAATCTTCAAATTGTTTGCTCAGGACACATGTATTTTACTGTCACTGGACATTGTAAAGGTCATATGGCGACATTCCAGCTTTAGTGGTGGAGGAAGACTTAAGGTGCCCATCCATGCATTATTTCAGGCATGAACAGGCACCCAAGTAGAAAGACCGACATTCCATAAGCTAGCTGGATAGCTTCTTCACATCATAGAATTCAAAGTCCCAAGTGGGAATTCTACTAGTAACTTGAAGACACATATCAAATTACATTCTATTTCAGGAGTATTTTCTGTAAATAAACATTACAACTTATTTAAACATTGTCTGACCTTTTTGCGACCATACATCAGTAAGTGACGGAATCTATCTGTAACTTCCTCAACTGACCGCCCTTTGTTTATAATCGACCTATCAACCACTAATGACCTATCTATTGGCGTCGAGCCGCGTGATAATTTCTGACTCTGACTGTCTTCTGACTCCTCATCAACATCGAGGTTGTCAGAGCTTGCCGCGATCTTCATACCAGAACGACGGTACTCCTGGGTGGTTGGTTCGTGACCTTGTAAAATAAGGTCGGCAATATCTGTACCTACGACAGTCTGAAAAACATTTATTAATTCTAAATACCATAACAAACCATAATAGATCAGCATTGGTACAAGCTTTATTAATCGTTTTATCTTAAAGGGTATAAAACATTTGCTCCTATATTTGTTTCCCCCCTCCATTCAATCAACAAGGTAATACTTACATTTCGTCTTAAAAGAAACACAGAACACTCAAACAAATTTACAACATGTCATAACCCTTATCCCTGGCTTATTGCAACTAGACTTATTTATCCCTTCTAAATGCTTTAAATTTGGAAAACTTCTAAAAACATGTTTAAGGAATTGGTTTTGTCAAAATACAAAAAGTTGAGCATATATAAGCAGATTGACCTTGCTGTGTACTTATGGTAAAGGTTTTTCACATTTACTTCCAGCAAGGGATATAATATAAAATTATACTTACTCCATTTTGTTTTATAAGAAGTTCTAGAAACCTCCAGATGAGTTCAGCAGAATCTCTGTCTTCAAGGTTCATATTTTCTGTACATAACTTGGCCTTGTTCTGACAGAACAGTAATACATCATTCTTGTGTGTGTCTCCCCTGAAAAATATATCAAACATACATTATATATAACAAGAACTTCACAATCAAGCTTAAGTGTAATAAAAGTTTTTGTTTTTCAAGATAAAAACCCATCAGTCATTTTCAGACCAATCGTCTAGGTAATTGACTCACCTGACTAAAGGTCCAGGGAACTGACTCAGCACTTCAGCTTCCTCATTATCTTCTAGAAGAGCTTGAACATCATGAATCTCTACAGTAGCAGGCTGACCATCTGCTGGCCGGTTTGGTATAACTTTAACTAGCTGACCATTAGGACCAAAACATGCTCGCATATGTGGGATCATAAACTTTTCTGGTGTTTGTCTTTGTGGTATCACATCAGCTGAAACACAAATAACATTTTACTATCAACATTATCTAATAACCTCATAATTATCTAATGTACCTCAAAATTATCTAGTGTACCTCATAATTATCTAATGTACCTCATAATTATCTAATGTACCTCATAATTATCTAATGTACCTCATAATTATCTAATGTACCTCATAATTATCTAATGTACCTCATAATTATCTAATGTACCTCATAATTATCTAATGTCATTCTGATATTTATTGACAAAACAGTTTGACTCAATTACATGTTTGATACTTTCCAGAATTTTTAAGTTTGCCTATAGTTTTTGTCTTGTCCCGGACACTAAAGTAAACCTCCATGTCCTGTTGTGCATTTTTCATTTAACATATACAACCTACGTCTAATTACAATGGTTAATTAATTTAACTGCTGATCAAGTTCAAGGTCAGTTCAATTCAGTCTAATATCCACAGATAAGAGTACACACTTCAACTTATGGCAGAATAACACACTTTACAGCTTATTCAATATGTCTTCCCATTAATTTCAAATGTGCTTGAAGTTTTGTCAGCAGACTGGTTCCTGGGTGTCATAACCAGACTGCTTCCTGGGTGTCATAACCAGACTGGTTCCTGGGTGTCATAACCAGACTGGTTCCTGGGTGTCATAACCAGACTGTTTCCTGGGTGTCATAACCAGACTGGTTCCTGTGTGTCATAACCAGACTGGTTCCTGGGTGTCATAAACAGACTGGTTCCTGAGTGTCATAACCAGACTGGTTCCTGTGTGTTATAACCAGACTGGTTCCTGGGTGTCATAACCAGACTGCTTCTTTGGTGTCATAACCAGACTGGTTCCTGGGTGTCATAACTAGACTGGTTCCTGGGTGTCATAACCAGACTGGTTCCTGGGTGTCATAACCAGACTGGTTCCTGAGTGTCATAACCAGACTGGTTCCTTGGTGTCATAACCAGACTGGTTCCCTGGTGTCATAACCAGACTGGTTCCTGAAAGTCATAACCAGACTGGTTCCTTGTGTTATAACCAGACTGGTTCCTTGGTGTCATAACCAATCACACCAGTGTGGATTGTAAAAATTAAAAGAGAACCTCACCACTGGTAGGATTGGAACCCACTTCCACTTGATTAGAAGTCCACTGGTGTACCCCTACCACCCCTTCCTTCAAACTGGACATTGCATACCATGTTTATAATAGTAAGGAAATTTACATAGTCTTAGCATAACCTTTGTAACATTAAAAGCATATTCAGCAATATAAGTTTTCTTACTAGTTGTTGCGACCCACTCGGAGATATTTGGGTCCCAGCGGTGACCATTCTGTTCGTAACCATAGTAATTGTAGTATTCATCATAGCCACGATGTGAGTAGTCGTGTAGGTCAGGCGGGTAATCAAATCTGAAATAACAAACTCAACTATATTAAATATGTCATTACTTTTTCACATATGTCATTGCTTTTACACATATGCCATGACACATATGCCATTACTTTTACAAATATGCCATTTCTTTTTACACATTAACCTTTTAAATCACACAAATACCATCATTACATATAGAGAGAGGGTGTTATAAAAGGGTAAAGTAACTGTTTTAAAAATAAAATCCATAAAACCAAAGTTTATGTCAAAGCTAAATATTTCAATATAACTATTATAAATAAAATTTAATACAGCTTCAAAAAATTGAAACAAAACCTCATTTGTTACAATGTTATACAATATCAATAAAGTATCCAAGCCTTGTAGTTTAAAGTGAAAAAGGCCAAACAAAACAAATGACATGTGTAACACAGTGTAGGTGAAATGTCCATAATCAAAATGAACAGTCGTCATAATATTAAGCTAATTTTGAAAATTTGACCAAGTAGGTGGAAAGTCATTTAATAGCTCAAACATTAAAATTTCAATACATCTAAATAATGCTCTTATTTATAATAGATTTAACACATAAAAGACAAAATTTTCAAAGACTTGTATCTTAAAAATAAAAATTCAGGTCTATCATGAAGATACTAGCATGTTTAAAGTGAATTTTACACAATTTAAAGTATGAAGATTCTAGCTTAAGAAATGAAAGATTTAAAGACCAAGTGATGATTCAAGCTTATGATATAAAGATTCTTTTTTATGAAAATGAAGATTTTGAGGCAAAGCATAAAGATCCTACTCTCATGCAATAAAGATTAAGTATGAAGATTTTAGCTAATAAAATAAAGGTCTGAATTATTCACAAAGTTTACAGATTTTAGCTTATGAAATGAAGCTTTAAGACCAAGTATGAAGTTTCTAGGTTTAAGACTTCAAGCTTACAAAATTTGAATATCAAACCAGGTATGAAGATTCTAGCATAGAAAATGAAGATTTCAGACCAAGTATGAAGATTCTAGATTTAATACTTCAAGCTTACAAAATTTGAATTTCAAAGCAAGTATCAAGATTCTAGCACAGAAAATGAAGATATATGACCAAGTGATAATTCTAGATTTAAGACTAAGTATGAAGATTCGAGCTTATGAAAATGAAGATTTAAGACTAAGTATGAAGATACTAAATATGAAGATTCGAGCTTTTGAAAATGAAGATTTAAGACTAAGTATGCAGATGCAAGCTTATGAAATGAAGATTTAAGGCCGATTATAGAGATTCCAGCTTATGAAAATGACAATTTAAGACGATGTATGGAAGATTTTAGCATGGAAAATGAAGATTACAGGCTATAATGTGATACCGTATATATACATGTATTATAATAATTATTTATTTCAATCATATTTTTTTTTACTTTCACTGTACAACACAATTGAATCTAGAAGTGTTAGATAGATTGTATATGATAAAACAAACTTGATATTATTTTTAAATATCAATAAAGATGTGATACATTTAAATATTTATATAAATATGACATCAATTAACATTAATGTAAATACTATATTATATCAATTCAATGTTAATATAAATATGATACCAATTAGATATAATTTAAGATATTGAATATTAATATGAATATATTAAATATTAATATGGTATCAATAAACTACATGTATAAATATGAATATGATATCAGTTAACTATTAATATAAATATGATATCAATTAACCATTTTAATATAAATATGATATCAATTAACCATTAATATAAATATGACATTAATTGACCATTAATTTAATTGTGAAATCACTTAACTATTAATATAAATATGATATCAATTAACCGTTACAATTACCATAAATATGATATAAATTAACCACTAATATAAATAGATATCAAATAAATATACATTAAGCACAGTTAGAAATAACCATACAGACAGGCATATAGTGAAAATATCAAAGGGAGAGCATGCTGCCAGCTTCTGATACAGAGTTGTCTTTATTTCATAATACATATAACAAGGGGGAGATAATTTATTAAACTACTAAAAATATTATATTTAGCATTTTTATTTTTAAATACTTCTATAGAAGCCAGGATGGACAATGGAGGTCCAATGTCACTTATATAATATCACATCAGTCTGCAAGTCCAATTTAATAGATTATTTTAGTTCTTTTCAAATTTCAATTTTTTTTATTTTATAAAATATCCAAAAAAAATTGTAGTGTCCTACCCTGTAAAACCTATGGACAAACCTATGTAAAAGGGCACAATTTATTTCATTTTCACTCAGAAAATTAAAATAAGGGGCCACAACTCTGTAAAAGTGAGAATTAGCATGCTGTTATGATTATGTACTTGTATGTATTAAAATAATTCTAGAAACAATAATGACATCATCCAATGAAAACACAGCACATGCCAAATGATAAAGTAATGTTTTAATAGGGGGAAATATTGATCAATTAAATACCAATTAAATTTGTAATTGGCAACATAATTCCGAGACTTAACACCATATACACCTTTAAAACATATTTTCATATATAAATATCTAGAGTACCCAGTTTTGTTTTATGTTTATATATATAGTACAGTTAGAGAATGCTGATATTAACAGTTACACACCCTTCTGCCATTATTCCACTATATACCCAATATAGCTGTGCACTTGCTGCAGTATAATGGTACAGTTCTCGCATTTATAAATAAAAGGAGAAAACCCATCAAGCAGCCAACAAGCCCACATCTAGTTATACAAGCATTTAGTGTATACACGATGATATATATATGAGCCGCATCATGACAAAACCAACATAGTGGGTTTGGGACCAGCATAGATCCAGACCAGTCTGCGCCTTCGCACAGTCTGATCAGGATCCATGCTGTTCGCTATCAATTTCTGTACTTGTAATAGGGTTTGTAAGCGAACAGCATGGATCCTGATCAGACTGTGTGGTTGCGCAGGCTGTTCTGGATCCATGCTGGTCACAAACGCACTATGTTGATTTTGTCATGGAGCGGCTCAATTATATAGATCCCTGTGATTATTTATATACCTCTTTTTATCAGGGTCTGACTCAGACCGTTTTTTCTTTTCTGCTATACTAGAACTATAAATAAAATCAAAATAAAACTTGTAACAAAGCAAAAAAAACCCAACAAATTGTTATTCACTCAAAACTTTAATACCAAAATAAAACTGTTAAAAAAAAACAACAACAAGTGTAAATCAACCAAATATACATTTAGAAGGGAAAAAATTAAACAGAAACAGTTTACAAGAAGGTTAGAGGAATACGAAAGCGAAAATGTTTAAATGTTTAAGGTTTATTATTGTTAAAAGAAAAAGAACCTGAAATTAGTATTGTCAGAAAACTGAAACAGTAATATTTTACATGCAAAATGTCAGACAATATGTTACCTGTCATGCAGGGATGCAGTATTTAAAATTTTAACGTGGGGTATTCTATTACAGTGTGCCGGATAGCGTTCATATATAACTCTAATTATTGTTCTTAAAACTCTCTTGTTAAATGTATATATAATATACATGAAGATGCACATCATAAAGACTATAATATTGATATTTTAAAATGATATTTTACTAATTCAACGATAACTCTGCTGTAACCAAAAATAATTAACTTCTGCCATCAGTATATAGGCAGGCCAGTCTTCACGTCCATGTAGTCTGACCTTGTTATATACTGTAAACTAACTTCACATTTTTATCTTGATATCCCTAACATTTATAATGGACTGTTCCAAAAATGGAAGATGGACAAGTCCATTTAAGAAAGTCAGCAGATTCAGGACTAATCTATTTTATTTTTTACAAAATGGATCAAAAGTTCTGGTGGTTCATGATTGTGACACCAAGTAACAGAATTGGGTCCGATGATTTCTTAATGCCCCGGTCACATATTCACGGATAATGCCACGGAAGAGCTACAGTCTAATCGTTCACGGATTACTACGGAAATGTGAAATTCCGTAGTCCGCTACGGTTCCAGTACGGACACACAACGGTATGAGTACGGAGTTCGACAGATTTTCCACCAAAAGCCCCGGGAGAGACACGGATTGTTACGGACCGACACGGTTTGGTACGGAACGACACGAATCAGGACGGATGCACTACGGATACACTACGGTCTGCTACGGTATAAGCACGGGTTAATACGAATTAGTACGGGTCTGATACGGAGAAGAACGAATTGATACGGAGAAGAACGTATTGCCACGGACCTATTATATCCGTCCACAATCTCTTGCATGCTCATTTTCAAAATGCCTCACAAGAAAAGAACACCTAGAAAACGAATTGTAGAGTTCAATGATTTTGGCGGAGAGGATTCGGCCTCATCGCGTCCGACCGCCGAGACATATCAGGTCCGATTAAAGTGAATTTCGTGAAGGACGCCGGATCCTCAACAGGTTCGACCATAAGAGTCTCATACTAAACATGAAGGGGTCTTCGTAATAACCCATCTCTAGTCCACCATCTCCTCTTACCTGATTAGATCTGGGCTAGTAATCATTAAAGAAAAATATTGATCAATACTGCTTCTCTTTTGATTTTGAAATTTGTTGTTCATTTTACAATAACATTAATTATCGTGAATGTTTATATTTTAAAAATATGTTAAAAGCTTGTTAATTTATCTTATTATCACTCAAGGGCCAGCGTCAGAGGCTTATGAGGCACTTCGTTTTATGTACAAATTTACTCCAATTTCACGAGCCAAATTAATGTTTGTAAAATATGTAACATTAAATGCTATTCTGTTACTTATGAAATGTAGTACGATATTAATATATTTCTACCTCTATGCATGTCATCAAGCAGCTCGACCACTGCCTCCGCATTCTGAGCTATTTAAATATAAAGTTGCAGCCAGTAAATGGCAATTATCATTTATTGAATGTTCACGCAAATATGTCTATTTTAACAAGAAGGTAGTATTTATACTCTTGAAGAGCACATGATACTATTAATCTATCCCACGTATGTAATAAAAGTCCGTGTTTATCCGTACTAAACATTGGTGGACCGTACCATTTCGTGTTGCAACGCAATAAACCCTGTAAGACCGTGCTAATCCCTGCCTCTCCGTAGTACAACGTATTACGATCGTACCTTTCCGTGACAATGCCGTATTCATCCGTATTAAAACCGTAGCTTATACGTAGGGTAACCGTACAAATACGTAGTTCTCCGTACCAAACAGTGGAAATCCGTAGCAGGTTGAGGCCTACGAATCAGTACGGACTAGTACGGTTTCCGTACGGACCAGTACGTATCAGAACGGTTTAATACGGACTAGTAGGGATACTCTACGGTTGATTTTTCCGTAGCAAATTTTTGTGCATGTTCAAAAATTGTCAAGGATCGCTACGGATATACAAGGACTACTACGATTAATTACGGTTACAATACGGAGAGCTACTGACCAGTACGGGTAGCTACGGACGATGCCGGAATTAATCCGTGGCTCTTCCGTGGGCGTATTCCGTGAATATGTGACCGGGGTATAAGCGAACTTCAAGTGGGAAATTGATATATAATAAAATAATTAACCACTAAATTACTCTAGCATATTCCATGATGTACTATATATGACAGATATGGGTGACACTACCATTGTAATATGAAACATATCAAAACATTCTGTATAAAATATTACACTATAAAATATTACACCTTAAACATTCCAACGTACAAATAAAACTGCCAGACAATATTAGCAACTAAAAGCTTTTTACAGCCAAGAAAATAAGGTCAAAAAAAAGGAAACAAAAGCAACATCGCTAAAGCCTAGGAGTCAGCCATACTTACACAATAAAGGGAAGTAATCTACTTACATTTCTTCACCCCCATCAGATAAGGAACCAGGAGTTCCTGTTCTTGACCTTCTGTGGTAGTGTTCATACTGGTACCTAGCAGGCAAAGGGAGGGAACTGAATCAAGCATGCAGCAGGCCAACCACCAACATGTGTTTTTTTTTTCAAAATCATAATTAACTCCCTTTAATAATATGCATCTTCCTTTATACCAAAATTAATAAACATATCAATTATATGAAGATAAACATGTCAGTTTTGTTGCTGCCTTGCATGGTTTTAAAGCATGTTAATTACAATGTACACAATAGAAAGAGAGAAATGAAATCAAATAATATTATAATTTAAAAAAGGAATAAAAAGGAAAAAAAAAGGAAAAACACATGTTGTTTCAATGAAGAAATATTTGCAATTATTGACCATATCTCCAAATTGAAACCTTTGCCATACCATAAGCTTTTAAAGAGGCTGTCATACTTCTTACAAATATCTACAACTCAACCTAAACATCCTGAAATCTTTCTTTGGATTCTTAAATTAATTTTCTGAATTTCTCGGACTTATAAAAATTAATTTTCTGAATTTCTCAGACTTATAAAAAATTAATTTTCTAAATTTCTCAGACTTATAAAAATTAATTTTCTAAATTTCTCAGACTTATAAAAATTAATTTTCTATTTCCCTGACTTATAAAATCAATTTTCTTAATTTCCAAGAGTTATATTTAATTTTCTGCATTCTCTATCATTTTTTAGAATTCTGTGGTACTATGTTGCACTATTTCTCTTTTTTAAAATATACTGTTATTAATTATAAAAAAAATTATTTTGTGTTTAAATATAACCATTAAAAAGATTTTCATGAAATGTAGTCCAATGCTCCATTAATGACAACATCTTCCACAGTTGTTAAAGTTAACATGTTATGTCATGTAAGAATATAATATTTATTATATATGTATTAATTCCTTATAGCAATTATTATTTCCATTTATAAGTCAATTAAACATAATTATTTTAGTACAGGAATAAATATTACATGTTAAAGAAAACTGCATGCTTTAATCACTAAAACCACCTGCAATCTACAAAAGCTTCATTACAATATTATATACATGTTCCTGGTATCCTAAATTCTTAGAACATCTATAGTCAACATCGTTTATTCTGATTTTTACTCTTATCTTTTACAACACTACATTCAAGTCGTTAATTCTGTCAAGGTTTAATTGGTGTAGGAATATCTGTTACGTCAAACAGTACATTATTTTATGCTCAAGTGAACATGTGAGTTAAATCAATGTCTTCCGGTACACCAGATAACTAACACAAGTTAAATCAAGGTCTTTCGATACACATCACATGTTATATTAACAACCTTGGCAGACTTCAAACCCATAGCACTGCAAGGGGTGTTGGAGGGTAGGGTGGGAGTCGGCTGTGTCTGCTAAATTAACCTCACACTGCCATGTAGGGCTCTTGTATAACTCGAAAAGATATTTTCCAAAATGTACATTTGATAGGGGAAAAAAAGGATAAATTCTTTTTAAATTGCCATTCATGCTTTAAAATCATGCTTTCCAACAAACTTTTGTATTTAATAATTCACCATGGAGCTAAGTGAATGTACAGAAATAAAAAACCCAAAATTTCTCACTTTAATGGTTTGTTTTTTTTAAATAAAAGGATCAGCCTAATTCCTTCAAATAAGATGATAAAACATGACAAAGCAGGAGGTTTGTAACCAAACATATAAAATGGTACATGGATCTAAGTCATCTACAAACACATTTTCTGTAAGGCACATCACAAAAAGGGGAGCAAAAATCCCATCCTCAGCTGCCCAATGGTTAAGAAAATTGTATTTTCTTAAAAATTTCGGACACCTATAGTGGGAAACCCAGGATTGATACTGACCTTCTAGAATGTTTGCTATCAACTTTACTGTATTATGAAATAAGATTCATTATTTACGTATGCTGTATCATTGCAAATTGAGATCTTAGATATGCTGTAGCACAAAATCAAAAATTGAGATCTAACGTATGCTGTAGCACAAAATCAAAAATTGAGATCTAACGTATGCTGTAGCACGAAATCATAAATTGAGATCTTACGTATGCTGTAGCACTTAATTAAAAATTGAGATCTTACGTATGCTGTACGTATGCATATGCTGTAACATTTTGTCATAAATTGAGATCTTAAGTATGCCGTAAAATTTCATCAAATATTGAGATCTGAAGTTTGCTGTGTCATTGATTATATTACCAATTAAGATTTACCGTAAGCTGTAAAATTATGTTGGATTTGGCAAGTTGCAAAAAACTGAAGCTCCTGTAAGCACCTAACAAAACTTGTGCACAATAATCTCTCAAAACATGGCAATACAGTGCATAAAGAAACAAAATATACAGCAACTATAAATAAATATAAAAGTTTATACAAAACAAAATTGTTGGTCATAATGCACATATGTATAGAGAGAGTTTAGCGGCATAAACTAACCTTTGAGCCGCGGGGTCGGCGTGATAGTAACCGTGTTCATCGTAGTAACCCTGGCCGTAATTACCGTAATAATAATCATAATATTGTCTGTCGTAATACTGCCGTCTGCTGTAGTAGTCGTTGTAGTCATAACCTGAACAAAAATAATACAATATGATCAAAATATCCGCACTCAAACTATAATTGAGCCACGACATGACAAAACCAACATAATGGGTTTGAGACCAGCATGGATCCAGACAAGCCTGCGCATCCGCGCAATCTGATCAGGATCCATGCTGTTCGCTTTCAGTTTCTCTACTTGTTATAGGGTTTGTAAGCGAACAGCATGGATCCTGATCAGATTGCGCGGATGCGCAGGCTGGTCTGGCTCTATGCTGGTCGCAAACCCATTATGTTGGTTTTGTCATGTCGTGGCTCATATATATCATTAGTATCTATTATAATACTGCACGTTCCTAATGTCACTTTTTAAGGGATAATCATTATGTAAAACAATATACGAAGCAATTTTTTTTCTCTAATATGAAGGAAGTTTGCTGTGTCAGATATTTGTTATAAAGATTCTTGACAGGTTATATGGTCATTTATAAACAGTTTAACAATATAACCCTCACCTTTTCAAAGTCCACTGAAAAGCAGGTTATAATCTTCCATAATATGTGTAACAGCTATTAATTTTTGAAACTCGGGCAATTTTATAATCAATTAAAATTCTGTATCAACTAATCAAAAGACAAATCAGTGAAGTTCTACATTTTCCAAGTTTTAAATTTAAAATAAAAGATGAGACAGATTAGTGATATAGTTACCCCTGTCTCTGTATTTATCCCTGTAACGTTCTATATCCTGATCATAATCATTACGAGATCTTGGACGATCCACATCTCCCATTCTAGAGCCAGCCCTCTCTTTCTCACCTGTATAATTAATTCAATATCATTATAAATTACCTCTGTTATAACCCAAATAAATAACCAAACTTATGTTATAAATAGCCTAGGTTCTAAGTGCCTATCTTCATTTTTATTTAAACTTATTTTCTGCTTACATTTGTATTTCCTAATTGTATACTGTAAAATCATTATTATTCGTGGGGCACGAATTTTCGTGGTTTTCGTGGGTAGGTCAATCCACGAATTTAAGATCCGACGAAATTTTATCCCAACAAATACTTTTTACCCTGTTTCTGTCCTATATATTACAAACATGGGTCGGCTCTTTTCCGGCTGATTTTCGTGAAATAAATGTATATACATACTTACATGTACAGATAATCAGGTAGTGACAGATTAAATCCGTTTGCAATGTTTAAGAAACTTGATAAAAAACTCGATTATAATTATGCCCTCAATTTACTGTCACAAATGCCGGTCGCATATACACACTTGATCGTTGTTAGAATACTTGACATAATCGAGTTAATATGGGAACCCAGGCAATCCAATTAATTGGCGCTTATAAAAAATGTCAGTTTGCTCTTATTAATTAAAAAAAGTCTTTGATTTTAATGTCGTAAATACACAAAACGATAAAAAAAATACAATCGCTAAAACAGATGAATTGCACTTTCTTTTGTTGTTTTTAAATGGTCCAGTTTTACTAGATCCACACATATTTGTGTTATTTACTCAGATTAATTTATATGCATGTAAATCTACACAGTCGCTATGACGTTGCGTGTAGTTACTGTCAAATATGGTAAGACCAATTCAGGGTGTAAACTTTTTAAACTTGCTGGTTAAAACGTGTTAGGTGTCGTATAAATTATGCGATGTTTACATCGGCGTATTAAAGGGGCAGTGTGTGAAATGGAGGTGCATATCATGTCACATAAATGTGTTAATTGCAGCCAATTATCGGCAGTAACTGTGCTATATTAGAGTTATGCCCAGAGGCAAGGATTAAATTTATTGACAAGCGCTGTGTGACACATAAAGATATGTACATGTTGTAAGTAAAAATGTTCGGCGATTAAGTTAAAGATTACTTTGCATTAGGTTACTAAATTTTTTACAAAAAAAAATGAAAATCCACGAATTTAAGAACCCACGAAAATGCCCGTTTTGATAAAACCACGAAATTTCATGCCCACGAATATAAGTGAATTCGCAGTATGGAGAATATATCTCATAAAGGATAAGCAACAAATACTTGAATATTTGTTTGTTTGTTTGTTACATTTTACGCCTTTTCCCCAACAGTATTTCAGTCATATGGGCGGGTAGTTTCCTAACCATCGTTCCTGGAAAGTTACACCAGTACTAGACTACCTTTCTCCACGCTAAACTACCAAAGAATCTCCCAGGGATCGAAACCCACGCCAGGTAAGAAGTCATTGACTCTTAACCCCTCCACCATGGAGGCTGTCTTGAATATTTGTAAAAGGAAAGCAATAATATTTTTTATATCTATAGAGTATTTCACAACTTAAAAGCAGTTTTTTTCTTTCATAGCCCAGTTATCAAACATAAAACAGAACAACCAAACAAAAATTCTCTACAAGTTAAAAAAGGAACAAAATAACAACATTATTTTTATTCCACTGTTCCCATTTTTTAAAAATTTTATATAAAAATCTTTGTCAGCCTCAATGCCTCAATGCCTAAAGGAAATAATAAATCAAGGTTACCTTGTCGAGATCTTGGCCGGTCACGATCGTTTCTGTCAGTTTTTCTGTAGTACTCTCTATCACGATCACGGTAATCTCTCCGTGTATCAATTGTTGATGTCCTACTAGGTGGCCGATTACGATCCCTTCAATAAATTAAACAACAACATAATAACAGAGCTATAAACATATGAGCCGCGTCATGACAAAACCAACATAATGGGTTTGCGATCAGCATGGATCCAGACCAGCCTGCGCATCTGCGCAGTCTGATCAGGATCAATGCTTTTTGCATACAAGCTCTATAACAAGTAGAGAAACTGATAGCGAACAGCATGGATCCTGATCAGACTGTGAAGATGCTCAGGCTGGTCTGGATCCATGCTGATCGCAAACCCATTATGTTGGTTTTGTCATGGCACGGCTCAGTCATAGATTATACACAAAAACTCTATGTGCTAGATGGTTGATGAAATTTTAGTTCATTAACTTAGGAATATTCAGTAAATATCTCAATGTTATAAGTGTCTTGGTTAGGCTTTTTAGCCAGGGCACCAGAATAAGTCAGGTTGATTTAACAAGTCTTTTCTTAAGAATCTCTGAAAGGGATGTCTAGAAAGGGTCAGTTCATTTGATATAGACAAGAGCGATCAGTAATCACATGTGTCGCCTCATGATGGCCAATTTCATGTTGGGACAAATTTTGTGACAGACGGACAGACAGACGGACAGTGCACAACTAGACTTTGTACTGATCATTCTTGTAAAGTTTGGATAAAATTGCACCAGTAGTTTATGAGGAGTAGTTCGGACAAGCTTTTGCGTATCTGGCAACACACAGAAAAAAACTCCTTTTTATCAAAGGGCCATAACTCGGCCAAAAATCATTCAACCGGAAAACCCGTGCAATATGCGCAAGGACTTGAGCTACAGATCAATCCTGTAAAGTTTCATTGAAATTGCATAAGTGGTATAAGAGAAGTAGTCTGGACAAACTTTAAAAATAAAAATTATTAAAGGGCCATAACTCAAACAAAAATCATTGAACCGGAAAATGCTGACAATATGCACAACTAGACTTGGTACTGATCATTCCTGTAAAGTTTGGATGAAATTGCACCAGTAGTTTATGAGGAGTAGTCCGGACAAGCTTTTGTGTATCTGGCAACACACAGAAAAAGAAACCTTTTTATCAAAGGGCCATAACTCGGCCAAAAATCATTCAACCGGAAAACCCGTGCAATATGCGCAAGGACTTGAGCTACAGATCAATCCTGTAAAGTTTCATTGAAATTGCATAAGTGGTATAAGAGAACTAGTCCGGACAAACTTTAAAATTAAAAATTATTAAAGGGCCATAACTCTGACAAAAATCATTGAACCGGAAAATCCTGAAAATATGCACAACTAGACTTGGTACTGATCATTCCTGTAAAGTTTGGATGAAATTGCACCAGTAGTTTATGAGGAGTAGTCCGGACAAGTTTTGTGACGGACGGACGGACAGACGGACGGACAGACAGACGGACGACGGAGAAGTGATCCCTATATGTTGCCACTACTCCGTAGAGGCGACACAAAAATCAAGTGTCCCAACAGAACATGTTCTACATAAATTTTGAAATTCCTTCCAAGTTTTAAACTAATTATGGCTTCAAGTTCCTTGGTGATATGTGGACACTGTCAGTGTCAATTACTGAATACTTCAAAATATTAAATAAGAAGTTACACATAACCCAACTATAACACAATAACCTGGAAGAGGTGTATAGCTTCCCCTATTTGTTGAAAAGCCAGGTTGAAAAACTGGTTTTGATCAAGCAATAAATGTTTTAAATGTCCATGCATATGTAATCCACTAAAATAAAATCTAAATCTATACATTGGAAAAATTATTCGACATTTTAAGAAATTTGAGCAGTTGAAAATCTTTTTAGTTTTTTAACATGTTTATGATCATATAACCTTATGATCATATATAATCTGTCAATTCTTTTAAAATAAACAAGTCAAAACAGTTCAATTTTCCTCCAAAAATGAAACAGTTTGATTTTTAAGGCTGCTTTTGGAAATTTATTTTTTGAAATTTGGGAAAAAAAGAGAGGCTATTTTGGATTGGAAATGGACCTTATTGCGGCCATTCTGATGATAGGGTGATAACTTTGAGCTGCCTATGTTTGTAAGACTGTATGTAAGGTGTTTGTGATCTTATTTCATTGTATTGGATAATCAGTTAAATAAACAAATATACCAGTAAGCTCACTATTTCACTTAAGATTTCTGAGGCATTTTTAAAAACAGTTAATGCTAAATAACCTTGTATATGTATACAGACTAACTGTTTCCATACATTGATATCTAGGTATCACAGTGTGCACTATATACGATTCAAAACTGAGTAGCAAATCTTAAGTGGAAAATCCAGAAACAGAAACTCAAAATCCTTTTAATAAACTGAAGTGAAATTTAGCAAATTGATTTTTTCGCGATATTCAGTACATGTGAATATAGTAAAAATAAGATAATTGTCAAAAAAGTATCTATGTGCAATTACTATATACAATTAAACTGGGTACCAAATCTAAAATGGACAATCCAGGAACAGAAACTTAGTAAAAGTCTAAAATCATACCTGTAGGATCGATCATAATAATCATCTCTGTAACTTCGGTCACGTTCACGACTATCACCTCTCCGTGTGCGATCTCGTGAATCATCTCTGTCTAGTGAATCCCTTGAATCGTACATACTCAGTTTTTCACGCGAGTTATTTCTGGAATCTTTCAAGCCCCTATCTCTAAGACTATCATACGATCTGTTACCCCTTATATCTTCCCGAGACCCCCTGTCTCTATCACGATCTTTACCATAGCGCCCCCTATCATCTCTATCCCTATACCGATCTTTTTCTCTGTATCTGTCTTTAGACTCTCTTTCTTTAGCACTAAATTTACTGTCATTTCTAGAATGTTTACTATCATCTCCATTATTATCAGTGGTTATCTGTTCGCTTAATGAACTAATTAATGAGACAACCGGATTTAACTCTGATGGTGCGCCACCTACAGGTGCAGCTACTGTACCAGCTGTACTAGAAGCTGGCATTAACAAAATATTTGGCATTGCTGGAACATTATCAGCCACATCAATTAATGAAGCAGCCGGGGATACATTATTCTTACTCCTATTAGTTTGTATATGATGGAATGCTGACTGCCTTGTACGTGTAACACGGTCCGACGTACTAGAGCCTGGCGGAGGTCTTGTTGTCACCCTATCACTATCAGCACCATATCTATCTCTGTCCCTATTATAACGTTCTCTATCATCATAACCACGATCTGTTTTCCGTCTTGAATCCCTTTCTGACCTCCTTACTTCATTTCCCCGATCCCCAGAGTCCCAGTCTGGAGTTCTGCTCCTGTATGCTCTATCACGATCTGGCGTTCTTCTACCATGCTTATCTGATATTCCAGGTTTTACAGATTCTCTAACAGGGTCTTCTGGAATGTCTTGTGAAGATTTAGTAATCTTGCTCATGGTGTCTTGCTTTGGAGGCTGAAACGGACTCTCCTTACGAGGCAATATTGGGCTCTGTTGAACTGCCGCTGTTTTTCTTGGTTGTGAGGATACAGGTGTGACTGGGAGACTTCCTGAATTTTTCAACATTTCAAGTTCTGGACTTTCACCATCTCTCTGCCCAGTACTCTCTACATTAGCTGTGATAGGAGATATTGACTGGTTTAAAACAACTGGACTGTTTTCAAAGTTTGGCCGAGTAACATCAAGTCTTGTTGATGACAGCATTGAAACATCACTGTTTGACGACACAGCTTGTGCCGCCTCTATATTGGGTGATTTTCGGAAAGGGTTCCCACCCTTCTTACCCCCTAACATAGGGGGTGGAAGTCCAACTGGCTGAGACTGAGGTGGTCCCACACTAGGTTGTTGATTTAAAGTTTCAGCCTGTGTATTCGGTCTAGCATTTTGAACATCAGTTTGTCTATTTGGCACAGTTTCCTCTTTCTTATCCACTAAATTAACTCCTGTTTTATCTTCACCAGCTTTAGATGAAGCTGGTGATACTCGAGCTGAACTATTTGTAGAACTAATAAAAAAATGAACATTATTGTCTATAGATGCATTTCTACTGTGAGCTGATACAGTGCCCTCTACTGCTGGTGGTATCATTTCCCAATCACTAAATGTAGGAGTGGTTTGCTTCACTCCCGTATCACTTTCAGAATTGCTCTCACATATTCCAACTGATTGCGGAGGAACTATCGACTGCTGTTGAGGTACAAATGATGCTGCATCCATGTTTAAATTATTTCCATCATTTCTTTGGTTTGAATACAGTGGGACATTTGATACATTGATATTTTCATTACCACTTGTTTGAGACACAGAATTGTCCTGTAAATTTAATGCCTGCATCTGACCAATAACTTGTAACTGATTTGTTTGACTATTAGGGATCACAGTTTGAGCTTGTAAATGTTCACTCTGTTCATAATGATGTTCATTTTCATGTCGTATATGGCTTCCACTTTTGCCAACATTACCGTTACTTCCATTCGATACATTCCCTCCCTCCCCACTCTCACTGTCATCATCATCCTCTTCATCATCGTCATCATCATCATCACTTTCCCCTTCTTCTTCATCATAATTATCATTATTATAAAACCCACCCATTGTGCCACCATCTTCTATATTAGCAACTGACTGGTTTAAACTTTCACTTTCTTCAGTAGACTGGGATACATTTAAATCTCCTATACTTTGTTCAGTCTGACCTGAGCTATTAATAGAACCAGTCATTTCGGTGGACTGTGTATTAGCTTGTCCATAACTAGCACCTGCTGATTGAGCATAGTGGGCATTTGGTTCCTGTGCAAAATAATTTGCGCTTGACACAATTTGACCTGATTGGTCAGTGCTTTGGTAATTTACATTAGACTGATAGTCTCCATTTTGCCCTGCCCAGTAGTTGTTATGTCCAGCAGTCTGGTTAGGATCAGTTCCCTGCTGGTAATTGTACTGCTGATGTTGATTCCACTGCTGATGAGGATCCCATGTACCTTGTGAACTAGGGTCCCACTGACCAGCACCATGTTCATTTTGCAAAGGGACATTGTTATACTGATGTTGACCATGCCACGGATGACCACTGTAATTGTTATATTCACTATTCACTTGCTGGTCAGCATTAAAATCTCCAGTATATGGATTACTTTCAGTGTTCCATGTTCCACAAGAATTCCATGCATTTTGTTCACCATCTTGACTTGTTATGTTGTCATGACCACCAGAATGACCTTGAACCTGACCTTTAACATCATTCTGCTTAGACACTGGAACATGAGGAAAGTTGTCACCACCACTTTGAAATTTGGTTGGATCAAAGAATTGAACTTGACCAGAAGCTTGGGGCTGAGACGAGGTATCACCACCCCACTGGCTCATTCTGTAAAAAATAATTACATTATTTTAAAGTTAAATAACAAACCATCAGCAAACATGATTGATAATTCTTTTCTGTACTAAGCTTTCTATCAATTTAATTATTGTAGCTAAAGGTAAAACTATATTAAGAACATTCAGATTTTCATGATTTTTCTGATGAGTCGAATATCTATGTGTAGCAATAAAAAAATTTAAATTTTGACTGAGTGTAATATAAAAGTTTTTTAGTATTAGTAACTATAATTTTTTAATTGGAAATACCTGCATGCCAGTTTACATTCTACAATACAAATTCTTGATACCATAAAAGTGACAAAGGTCCAATAGAAGCAAATGTTTGCACTCAAGTTTAATCTGTAAAGAATTCTTGTTGAAAATACCAGTAAATAATGGAGTTTGATTTCTGGCCTTAAGTTTATACATTGGAATTAGAAGGTTGTTAAGCAATTATATTTCAATCAATTATTGTGTTCTTTATTGAAAAAATTCAAGTTCTAACAAAAATAGTTGTTGCTGGATTTCAGGAACCAAGGCAAGGAGTCAGGTGATTCTGTCCCCGCAACAGATGATAAGGCATGTTTGTGGATGTTCCCTACATAATGGGTCTGACCACTGTGTCTGACTTTTCTGACTCGTTATAAGTTTAGATGAGTTTAAAACAGGCTGACCAAGATTTTGTTTTCACCCAACCTGGGATGGTTAATCACTTACATGTGTTGTCAACAGTAAATTTTAAGCATATTAGAATTTCTGTAGGAAAATGAAAGTTGCAATTCCTATGTTTCACATGTCACGTTTTTGAAATTTAAGCAAGACTGCCAAAAAGTATGCCTTAAACATATCAAATCCTAATTGGCAAAAGCTCAGTATATGAACATTGGTAAAAGTGACAAATTTATATGATTTTCCCATATGTGACACGATTTGTAGTGACAAAACACTGATTTTCACCTTCAGATTTCTTCTTTTCACAATCCTGTGTACTATGAATCCGCTCCTCTTTAATCTAGTAGATATTGTTTTTTCTCGAAGATAAGTCAAAGACCGTACTTTATTAACATAGACTCTAAAATACCAGAATTTTTCAGTTGTTTGTAAATTTCGCTAACTGACAGGCATCCATGTTGGATTTACGTGTAACACGCATGCGCAATGAAAATCTTTCATTCGGATCGTCAGCTGTCAAAACCGCACAAAGATTATACTATGGATGATTTGCCCGAGAATTAACAAAATAAATCAAAAAATAATTCTTTCAGATTTAATTAGTTCAAACGACAATCAAAACTTTACTTCTTTAATTAATGAAAACAATTTGTTAATTGTAATTTTGACCGAGTAATTAACTTCCGGTTAAAGTGGTTCAAGATAAAACACCACTAAATTTTGGGTCCAACTAAACACTGCCAAGGACTGCTAAGGGGCACAAAGGACCTATAACGAGCCATAGTGGACCTTAAAATTCCTCCTAGGGCCTTCCTATTGATAGATAAGTTAATATTAATCCCGACCAAAAAATATATATATAAAAATGGCATTTTAGTGATACAAATTATGTATTTGGTGAGTAAAATGGTAACACAAAGGCACATAGCCATTAGGTGTATTTAGAAAGTACTAAGGTCCACGATATTGCTAGTATAAATTTAATATATTTCAGTATGTTAAGTGATAAAACTGTATTATTTTAAGAAAAAGTATAATTTTGGTGATAGAATTTTTGTTTTCGATAAGTTGCAGGACTGCTTAGGAGGCACATAGGACTGCTAAGGGGCACAAAGGACCTTAAAATACCTCCTAGGGCCTATTGCTAGTATAAATTTAATATATTTCAGTATATTTAGTGATAAAAAATGTATTATTTTAAGAACAAGTACAATTTTAGTGATAGAATTTATGTTTTCGATGAGTTGCAGGACTGCTAAGGGGGCACAAAAGACAGCTAAGGGGCACAAAGGATCTACATTTTCATACAGGTCTGTATGATAATTATACTACCACATATGATTATTTATTATATCTTTATAAATGAAATATTGAGAAATATTGATGATATAAAATGTGAATTTTCATTTTCTGTAATTTCACTGTAAAATCTTATTTGTATACATATTGATTACTTGTATTTGTTAAAGTTTTTTTTTTTTTTTGCCATGGGTTTGGTTTAATGATGAATATGACTACTGTAATAATTATTGTGCTAGCATATCGATAGGCAAAACTATTTTGATTGAGTTTGTTGATGATACAAATTGTCTTATTTGTATTTAATAAAAGAATGTGTTTATATGAATGTGATACATACATGTATGATCTCAGTTTATCTTAATTGTATTCTATCAAGATCTAAATTTCTCGTGTTTTCCTTTAAATGAAAACCTATAATTTAGTTATGGGTTCTTGTTGTCAAGACTAGAGTAACCTCAAATTTGAAAATTGGAATGGGCAATGATGTAGTTACATAAACTTTCTTCTTTATTCATCAGTCATGGAAGAGGTGATGTATGTACATGTATGTACTAATATTCATACAGATAGACGTTGCTGCCAGTATTAAATTACAAAAGAATCAAGACGACACAATGGTAACCTGATAGTCACATGGTAGAAATTACAAAAGGTACAGTGCAGACACATGGTAGAAATTACAAAAGCAAAATGATAAGACACATGGTATAAGTTACAATAGCAACAAGACATACACATGGTAGAAATTACAAAAGTAACAAGACAGGCACATGGTAGCAATCACAATTAGTATACAGGTGACAGAGACATGGTAGAAATTACAAAAGTAAAAAGACAGACACATGGTAGAAATCACAATAGGAACAGGGCAGACACATGGTAGAAATCACCATAGTAAACAGTGACAGACACATGTAGAAATTACAATATGAACAGGACAGAACACATGGTAGAAATCACAATAGGCACAGGACAGACACATGGTAGAAATCACAATAGAAACAGGACAGACACATGGTAGAAATTACAATAGGAACAGGGCAGACACATGGTAGAAATCATAATAGGAACAGGACAGACACATGGTAGAAATTACAAAAGCAAAAAAAAATGGACACATGGTAGAAATCACAATATGAACAGGGCAGACACATGGTAGAAATCACAATAGTAACAGGACAGACACATGGTAGAAATCACAATAGTAACAGGACAGACACATGGTAGAAATCACAATAGAAACAGGACAGACACATGGTAGAAATCACAATAGAAACAGGACAGACACATGGTAGAAATCACAATAGGAACAGGACAGACACATGGTAGAAATTACAATAGAACAGGACAGACACATGGTAGAAATTACAATAGAAACAGGGTAGACACATGGTAGAAATTACAAAAGTAACAAGACAGGCACATGGTAGAAATCACAATAGTAACAGGACAGGACACATGGTAGAAATTACAAAAGAACAAGGCAGACACATGGTAGAAATCACAATAGAAACCAGGGCAGACACATGGTAGAAATTACAAAAGTAACAAGACAGACACATGGTAGAAATCACAATAGAAACAGGACAGACACATGGTAGAAATCACAATAGGAACAAGACAGACACATGGTAGAAATCACAATAGGAACAGGGCAGACACATGGTAGAAATCACCATAGAAACAGGACAGACACATGGTAGAAATTACAATAGAAACATTGCAGACACATGGTAGAAATCACAATAGGAACAGGACAGACACATGGTAGAAATTACAATAGAAACATTGCAGACACATGGTAGAAATCACAATAGGAACAAGACAGACACATGGTAGAAATCACAAAAGCAAAAAAATGGACACATGGTAGAAATCACAATATGAACAGGACAGACACATGGTAGAAATTACAAAAGTAACAAGACAGGCACATGGTAGAAATCACAATAGAAACAGGACAGACACATGGTAGAAATTACAATACAAACATTGCAGACACATGGTAGAAATCACAATAGGAACAGGACAGACACATGGTAGAAATCACAATATGAACAGGACAAACACATGGTTGAAATTACAAAAGCAAAAAAATGGACACATGGTAGAAATCACAATATGAACAGGGCAGACACATGGTAGAAATCACAATATGAACAGGGCAGACACATGGTAGAAATTACAATAGGAACAGGACAGACACATGGTAGAAATCACAATATGAACAGGAGAAACACATGGCTGAAATTACAAAAGCAAAAAAATGGACACATGGTAGAAATCACAATATGAACAGGGCAGACACATGGTAGAAATCACAATATGAACAGGGCAAGCACATGGTAGAAATTACAATAGGAACAGGACAGACACATGGTAGAAATCACAATATGAACAGGAGAAACACATGGCTGAAATTACAAAAGCAAAAAAATGGACACATGGTAGAAATCACAATATGAACAGGGCAGACACATGGTAGAAATCACAATAGTAACAGGACAGACACATGGTAGAAATCACAATATGAACAGGGCAGACACATGGTAGAAATCACAATAGGCACAGGACAGACACATGGTAGAAATCATAATATGAACAGGGCAGACACATGGTAGAAATCACAATAGAAACAGGACAGACACATGGTAGAAATCACAATAGTAACAGGACAGACACATGGTAGAAATTACAATAAGGTTAAACATTATATCAAATTAACAGAATTAATGTATGTTGCATCATTATCATTGATAACAAGGCAGTCTGAAGGACAGCTAAATCCCCTTCAGCAGTGAACATGAATGTGTACCTCTTCACCTTTTACCAACCATGACCTTTATGTTGTTTTTAGCTCGACTATACGAAGTATATGGAGAGCTGTCCTACTCGCCCCGGCGTCGGCGTCGGCGTCGGCGTCCGCGTCCAGATTTTAGATTAAAGTTTTGGTGCAGTAAAATATTTTTCACTATAACTTTGTCATTTCTTAAGGTATCAACTTCAAACTTCAAATATATGTTCCTTATCATCAACCACATCTTTATGTGACAAGGCTTTCATAACTCTAGCACCAATATTTTTCAGATTTATCTCCCCTTGAACTTAGAATTTTCCTTTAAAAAATACTATTTTTACTGATACTTCTTTATTTCTTAAGGGATCATACTCATACTTCAAATATATGTACCTTATCATCATCCCCATCTTATGTGACAAGGTTCATAACTCTAGCACCAATATTTTCAGATTTATCTCCCTTTGAACTTAGAATTTTCCATAAAAATATATGTATTTTTTACTGTAAGCTTATTTATTTCTAAAGGGATCAACTTCATACTTTCAAATATATTTACGTTATCATCATCCACATCTTATGTGACAAGGTTCATAACTCGCAGCACCAGTATTGCAGGCAATGAATCTCCCCCATAAAACTTAGATTAATAAATAGAAAAATGTCTATTTTTTATTTTAACTTTTTTATTTTTAAAAAAGTATCTACCTCAAACTTTCAAAATACTTATTCCTTATCATCAATTACATTTTTATGTGACAATGTGTCATTACTCTTTTGAAGCAATATTTACAGATTTATCTCTCTTGAACTTAAAATTTTTCTTGAAGAGAATATAATAACTTCTTATTATTTTTTAAGGTATCTACTTCAAAACTTCAATATATATTTCTTATCATTACACAAATGTTGTGGGCTCAAGGTCCACAACTTCTAGCATGACTATTTCTAGAATTATTCCTTGATCTTGGACATTTATGTTAACAAATGTTATTTTTTTAGTTATTAACTTAATACATAATTTACTACATAATTTTTTCTTTATAAGTTTTTAGTTATTCCTTAGCTGCGTCCAGTATTTTATTAGTCGAGCTTCGCTGTCTCCTGTGACAGCTCTTGTTTATTCATATCATAAGCACATAGTCTCACGATGTTGATTATTTGTGCCAAGTTATTTGAGATCTTCCATAGTCAAAAAGTTATGGAGAATATATAACATTGACCTTGGGTGTAGCAACCTGGATGTTGAGCTCTGCAGATTGTGTCATGGTGGGGATCATTTGAGCCAAGTAATTTTAAAACCTTTGTATTGTCAATAAGTTATAGAGCTGACATGATATGAATAGATGTTTTTACATTGAACCTTGGAGTGTGACCCTGACCTTCAGGGTTGTGACTTGATTATTGTGCTCTGCCAATGGTGTCATAATGGTGATCATTTCTGCCAAGTTATCATAAAAACATGGCAGCAATTTAGATGTCATGGACAGACACGAAATGTAGACTTTTTAACATTTGACCTTTAAGTGTGACCTTGACCTTGGGGGTAGCAACCCAATTTTTGCGCTCTGCACATTGTCTCATTATGGT